ATAATTGATTTTCTGGCCAGCTGTATAGGCCACAGATGTTTTTTAGCACATGTATGAGAGAAGTTCAGACCTTATGCTGGAGACCTGAATGAATCCTAAGCAGGCATTTGATCTTCTCTGAGCAGGATGTGTGGGTGATCCAGACGTTAAACTATGCACTGTTTGGAGAAACATTCTTACCCTGAATCGTTCTTAGAACCGTTTTTAATTCTAGATTCAGTCTCTGTTGGAGAATAATTCCATAATTGGGCTTATTTTGTGTATTAGGGATACTTCCTCCATATAAATATTTAATGAGCTTTCAAGAGATAGTTCCTATTTACACAAAAATATTACATGTAGGAATCCACAGTCTTACTTGAAACATTCCAAGTACCTTTAGTTATTAATGCCACATAATCCTCAAATTAATCTGTGGATCAGGAAAATTGGGGGTAAACTTTTTCTCCATGTCCCCCTCCCCTCCATACAGAATTTTTATAACTCCATGCCAGTGGGGTTTTACACTTAAATGAAATGGGAGACTGCAATATAGTTGCTTACCTTTGTATTAGTTTTCATTTTTAGTCAGTGACTATAACTGGATATTAATGTGTTGTCATGGTTAATAATTTATGAATTAACTACCAATGCAATAGAAACCTGCAGCTCCATTTCTGAGAATCACTTATTCATGTCAATCTACAAATATGCTTTAATATCACCTAGATTAAAAAATATTTCCTTTGACCCCCCCCCATATTTTTCTCTGCCTTTTGTTTCATTTCTTGAACTCTGTACTGAGAAGAGCTCCCTATACTTGCTATCTACACCTGCTGTCTCACTCACCTTTCATTCTTAACACACTCAAGATGGGCTCAAGTCCCCTCCACATAACTGGAATGGCTCTTTTTAAGGTCAGACAACCTATATTTTGCCAAAACTCATTCACTGTCGTCAACCTATTCCTTGTTTTAGTGGCATCTATGTGGTCGACCTTGTACCTCTAGCAGTTTTCTACCTATGCCTGGTTTTGTCTTTTTCCTGGGTGGTTCAGTCACAGTGAGTGTCCTATCCTTTTTTCTTCTTTTTTCTCTGACCTCTTCATGCAGCAGAGCTCAGCATTTGCTCCCTCCCCCTTTCTCCCACCACTCTCCATCCCCTGATGATCACATTCAATCTCCTGGCCCATCTGACCTCTCCATTTGGGTCTAATAGATATCTCAGACTTCTTGTGTCCAAAATAAATTCCTGATCCCTGCCCTTCTTCCATAGTTTGTCCTAGCTGCTGTTTTCTCTACCTCAGAATGAGACCCATCTTCTGCATTGCTCAGTCTAGAAACCTTGCGCGCATTCTTTACTCCTGGCTCTCACATAGCATTCTCTGGGCTCCACCTTCACCACGTGCTGTCTTTCCTCACTGCTTCAATTACTGACAGCCTAAGATGAGCCAACGTCGTCTCTCCCACAAGTGGTCTTCTTGCTTCCACCCTTGCCCACCGGCAGCCTATTCTGAGGGGCTGTGACTCTCAATCAAAGTAACAGCTAAATCCTTCCAAAGGCCTCTGAGCTCCTAGATAATCTGTGCCTTCCCTGTACCCATGATCTCCCTACCCCTGTCTCTTCTCCCTTCCCTCTCTGTGTCTGCTCCAGTCACAGTGGTCTTCTTGATGTTCCTGGAAATATACCATCCTTGGGGCTTTCGCATTGGCTGTTCACTCTGCTGGGAAGGCTCTGTTCCTGTGCGTACATTCCCAACTCTCCCTTCCTTCAAGATTTTGCTTAAATGCCAGCTTCGCAGTGAGGATTGCAATTGGCAATGCATTCTTCACCTCACCTCTGAAACTCCCAGCCCCCTTGCCCTGTTCCATTTTATTTTCAACTGCACTTATCATCTTCTAGCATGATAGAATTGATTTATGTTTATTGTTTGCCTCTCCCCTCACTAGAATGTAACCTCCCAGAAGGCAGAAATCTCTTTCATTCACTGATGTTTCCCAACATGCCTAGAACAGTGCCTGGTTTAGAAAGCTCTCGATGTGTAATTGTTGGATGGATGAATAAAGGTGGAGTAAGTTTGGGCCGCACTACCCAAAATAGGTTTAAATCGCTGTGCGTCCCAGCTTCCCTTCCCCCCACGCTGTACATTTCTTTATCACAAAATTGCAATTTTCCTTACCTTCCCCCCACCCTGTACATTTCTTTATCACAAAATTGCAATTTTCCTTTATGGAAAAGAGCTTTTCTTTGGTCTTTCCTTGTGAGTTTCTCCAAAGCAGATGAATGAACTCCATGTTCTCTTTGATGTTGCTAAGGAAGATGCCCGGTTCATGTTGGCAGGCCGTGTACTACTGGATGGCCCGACCAGAGTGTGTTCTCATGCATGTACTGCAGCCGATACAAGAGCTGTACCTGCCTCATTTTAGTTTTGTGTTACAGAAAGGTGGCACAATTATAGATTAAGGCGTGATGTCTAGGAGTACATTTTTTTTTAAAGATTTTATTTATTTATTTGAGAGAGGAAGAGAGAGCACAAGCAGGGGAGGGGCGGAGGGAGAAGCGGACTCCCCACTGAGCAGGGAGACCAACTTGGTGCTCGATTCCGAGAACCCGGGACTCACGACCTGAGCAGAAGGCAGACACTTAACCAACTGAGCTACCCAGGCACCCCTAGGAGTACATTTTTGATCTTCAAAACATATTCAGCACAGGGGTGCCTGGGTGGCTCAGTCATTAGGCGTCTGCCTTCGGCTCAGGTCATGATCCCAGGGTCCTGGGATCGAGCCCTGCATCGGGCTCCCTGCTTCGCGGGAAGCCTGCTTCTCCTTCTCCCACTCCCCCTGCTTGTGTTCCTGCTCTCACTGTGTCTCTCTCTGTCAAATAAATAAATAAAAATCTTTAAAAAAAAATAAAATGAAAGAAGGCAAAAGAAGCATACCTGCCTATAATGGTCAATGCTGTGCCACAGTAAAATTAATTTATGTGCTTTTATGTGTGCCATGGGGGCCTTATCTGAGATTTTTGTCCTGCAACTACAGTGGAAAAGATGATCTGACTGCAAGTTTGTATCTGGCCTTAAATTCTAGGTCTCTCCCAGATAAGTCTTCAGGTCACAGTTTCTTTAATAGTAAAGTGAGGGCATAGACCAGGATTTCTCTAAATTACTTCCACTCTTTTAGTGTTTAGCATATTTTCATTATATATTATTATCAAACTTGTTAGTAATTTTTTGACAATTTCCTGCATTTCAGCCCACTCTCATTTAGATTCCTACTGTGTGCTTGTACTTTGCTGATCTATGTAGCTTCAGACATGTGATTTGAAGGCCCAGTTTCATATACAGATAAAATATTACATATTCTTATGGTGAGCTTATATTTATAACATGTGCTTTTTTATATCACATCTTTACTTTTTAATTTAACCTAGAAAAGTTACACAGTAACCAGTGTTAGTCTTTTTTTTTTTTAAAGATTTTATTTATTTATTTTATTATTTATTTGACAGAGAGAGACACAGTGAGAGAGGGAACACAAGCAGGGAGAGTGGGAGGGGAGAAGCAGGCTTCCCGCGGAGTAGGGAGCCCGACGCCGGGCTCGATCCCAGGACCCTGGGATCATAACCTGAGCCGAAGGCAGACGCTTGACGACTGAGACACCCAGGCGCCCACCAGTGTTAGTCTTAATTTTTAATCTTTCAGTGCCCAAATTACTACTCTACTAGTAGAATAAATAAATAGGATCTGCTTATAGTTTTCAAGCAAGAAGAGAGCACAGAGATCATTTCATCCATATTCCTTATTTTACTAAGAATAGTAAAAAGACAGTGACTTGCCTGACATCACATAAGTTATAACTAAACTAAATGTGACTAAAACACATGTAGCTGGTGGCTCTCAGTCCTTTGTTTTTGAAACTACAATCTAGTTCAACTCTATGAGATGGCTGTTTATGGTGCACAAGACAGACATAGGTATTACTCTCATGGAATTTACCATCCACTGAGAGATAAAAAAAAATTATTCATAATTATAAGGAGGGTTACAGTGTGCTATAATCTAGCACATAGCCAAGGAAATTGGACCTAGATGAAGGCTTACGGTAGGCATGATGATGATTTCATAGGAGTTGAAAATGCAAAGGAGTAAGTGTGGCAGTGAGGGAAGAAGAACATTCTAGGCACACCAAACAGCCCATACGAAGACCTAGAATGAGTGGATGGTATGTGAAAGGACCTGAGTGAAGGCGAGAAGGAGCCCGAGGGGCAAGGGGAAGAGAGCTTAAGATAATAACCTAGGTGCAGATCAGACTTTGGGTGGCCATACAGACCATGGCACGGATTAGCTGGATTTGGACTGTAAGGTTCTAAGTAGTAGAGTGGCCATTCTTGGAAGTTGTGTAAATCCCTTGAGTATCAGTTTATTTCTAATGGCATAAAAGCAGAGTCCACGCCCGTCTTCACGCTGATCCTGACCCAAATGCTCAGCAGTGATTTGCAGGAGGCATGGGAGGTACAGTTGGTTCTGCCTGTTGTCCTGCCCTTCTGGGTCAGCACCACCATTGCCTTGCTGTCTAACCTGTTCACAGACTCATGTTTGGACTGGCTTTCTGACAGTGTTTGGAATAGTCCCCTCTTGACCTGGCAGCTACCCACTTCTGCCACTTCGCCTCACTTGAAATGTTGTGATCCTATCTCAGTATCCGAGGATGCCAATTTGACTCTCAGCTGCTAGCAGCCTGTGGATTTGAGTCCCAGTAATGGTATTGGTCACTTAAATTTATGTCTTTTAGCATCTAACCTGTAATCAGAGTTTCAAAAGAATTGTAAGCATTTGCTGCCTGTATTGCTTTTCTTTATTAAGAATGTGTGGCTTTTAAGATAATGGTTGAATTTCTAACAACTTATAATTTAGTTCACTTGCTCCAGTTGACATGATTTAATTTTTTAACATTTTGCTATGGGTAGTGGACGTGATGAACACTGTGTGTTCAGCTGCTCTTTATTTGTTCTTTAATTTACAGTTTTCACGTGTACTGAAGAATAGAGCCTGGCCCACCTTTAAACAGGCCAAATCTAAAATCTCCCCACTACACAGCAGTGATTTCTGCCCTACCAACTGCCATGTCAACATAATGGAAGTTTCCTATCCAAAAACATCAACCTCCCTGGGGAGTGCATTTGGTGTTCAGCTGGATAGTAGGAAGCACAATTCTCATGATAAAGAAAATAAATCTGAGCAAGGTAGGTTAGCTTTCAAAACTTTCTCAAATCACAAAAAGTTATTTAGGCAATTATTAACTATTCCAGCGTCCCTGAAATAGAATCAATTCCTGGTGCGTAAACAAGTCTGAATTTTAGAAAGACAGGGTTCCTCCCTATACTCATTTGGATAATTATACATAAATGTTTATAGAATCAAAAAGGAGTTATGCATTTTTATTATTTTTCCTTCAAGAAGAACGATTGTTCTTGCTTTCCTCACATGTATGACAGGCACAGCTTATCCTGCTGTGAAAACCACTAGTCTGAAATGGCCCTATAACTATGAGAAAACTACAGGAGGAGCAGCTTCTAGGATGCGTGGTGCCGTTCCCCACCAGCACAGTAGAGCATGGGATTGAAGGGTATTTTAATCACAACTCCCATAAGCTTTAATTCCTGAATTAAATTCAGCATTGGATTGGCATTTTATTTTATGTAAGCCTGAGTGTCTAGAATGAATTTCACTAGATCATTATTGTAAGTTAAAGGCCATAAACATTATTCTGGAATGATTTTAACTCCTCAGGGAAACTGAGCCCTATGGTGTACATTCAGCACACAATCACGACCATGGCGGCCCCTTCAGGTCTGTCTCTGGGACAGCAGGATGGGCATGGGCTCCGGTACTTGTTAAAAGAAGAAGACCTAGAAACTCAAGATATTTATCAGAAACTATTGGGCAAACTTCAGACTGCACTGAAAGAGGTGGAGATGTGTGTTTGTCAAATTGATGAGTAAGTATTTTATTTACCGTACTTCTAAATGTGCCTAATAAAATAGCTATAGAAAATGTGACTTTTGAACATCCATCAGTTTCTTTTTCGTTTTTAGAAATGTAAGATTGTGTGTGTGTGAATCATATAGATCCTCTTTATTCTAACACCTTAAGAGTGATATAACATGGCAACTATATACATGTATATTTTAAGGAAGCACTTAATACCAGGGAAGAGAGTGACAAAATTCTGCCTTATAGAAAACACTAAGTCTCAATGTGAAAATATTAAACTGAAAAATATGATTGAAAGAGTACCAACTAGGTATACAGATTTCCTGGTTTCCTTGATAGGGCAGAACACAGTATTTAATGTATATGTACTCAGTAGATGTGTATGAAAAATACAAAATATAGCAAATCTTTAACATACTTGTTAAATGAGTAAATGCAAAATTATGTTTCGCTAGGACCAATGACCAATGAATGACCTTTTTTTTTTTTCTTCTGATTGAATTAATGGTTTACTAAGCAATAACCCAAATACCTGTGCCGGTCATTTGGAAATTTTTATCAAGAACGGAGAAAAGGAAGAAGTTAATTAAAACTTTTCCAAAGAGGTTGACTCTGATTCTTATTTAAAAATTTGATGGTTGGACAATTGCCTCAACTTTGTGGGATGATTTGCCACATCATGGTGTGTGATTATGTGTCACAGCTAGTCAAGGCAACTCTGTATAAAGAACAAGGGCTTTGGGATAGCTTGGTCTCTCAGGTATTAAATAGGATGAAGAATAATAACAAATTACAAGTTTGTGGTGAAAATTATAAAAATTAATACAAAAAATAGTGCAGTGCCTAACATTATGCTTGCTCATCATTTAAGGGGTTGAAATTGGTGAATATATCTGAAGTTGATAGAATTCGAAAATGGCATAGACACCAATATCCTCTTTTTATCATGCTCTCTTTATGAAGTTAGACATTTAGATTGCTGTCGGATGTGTATTGTTTAATTCCCGCACATACATCATCCCATACTTCCCTGGATAATTCAGTTTTGACATAAAATATTTAGAACTTATTCTAAGCCTTTTTGGCAATTGGACATTATGCTAATAAAATCTTAATTGACATGATCTCTCTTTTTTAAATGTTTTCTTATTTTTTTTAATCTTATTTATTTATTTGAGAGAGAGAGAGACCACGAGCATGAGTGGGGCGGAGGGGCAGAGGGAGAAGCAGGCTCCCTGCTCATCAGGGAGCCTGACGCAGCACTCGATCCCAGGACCCTGAGATCATGACCTGAGCCGAAGGCAGACCCTTAACCAACTGAGCCACCCAAGCACCCTGACATGATCTCTTATTTTACACATCTTTAAAATTTAGAGATCAAAATCACCATATTAGATGCATCATATTTCTAAGGTTATCTTTAGATAGTTACTGTTTACTATGCTAATTTGTTCTGATTTTTATGAGTTAATAGACTTGAAATTCTGTTTTCCTGTGTCTAATACACTAGTTTTTAAAAAATTGTTTACTACATCGGTATGTTATATTGTGACTGCCCCATTTACAGATGAATTAAATAGTTTGGGGCTGCTAAGAGAACAGGGGGCTATTTTTTAAGCAATTGTGTGATACTTTGGATTTTGTGAGAACGACCTTGTGACACATAAGTTAGTATCTTAGGGCATTATATTTTGTTTCATTTAATAAATGGAATTTTATTATATGATATGTTCTATTTTAGAAACCAGTTTTTTTTCTCTCCCTAAAGTATTTAGGATGTGTACAGAGTAAGAATCTTTATTAATAAGGCAATAAATAGTGGCACTGAATCATGTATCCTAGCCCTCAGAGGGATTTTAGGAGAACATCTGGACCAATCCCACACTGCCAGTCAGGCCAAGAGTTATTTTTCCTGCTTTTCAGATGAGTCCTTTACCAATGGCAGAATCATTGATGTGCCTGAGCAGATACTACCTCGGAGACCAGGCCTCTAATGCATTGACTACTCAGCACTTCCTGGCAGTTGTCCAGACTTTGGCTGTCTTAGTTAATTTACTGATTTTTTTTTTTTTTAAGTTTAGCTGATGTAGATATATTTTCAAGAAAACAGAGCCAAAGGGCTCCCTTTACTTGGCTTAAAATGCTTTATATTTAAAGCACTCATTTAGGGGAGTTAAGCTATTTTTATTAACCAAAACTACTTAAAATAATTACCTATTTTTACTTAAGATTTTCCCACTTTGTTATTCTAAAAGCCTTTCCCCCACTGTGCATGTTTATTAGGAAAATGACATGAAATGAGCAAGTGATTTGAGAAACTTCCTTGGTCTTCTCTGTGTGTACCATATATTTTAATTCTAAATGTAAATATGTTCCACATAATTCAATGTGCAATATAATCCCTCTAAAACAGTGCAGTCGTCCAAGTGCCCGGATTCCCTATTGCCCCGTTCAGAGATACTGCAGTGCAGTCGAGCTTGACAAATTATTTGAAAAGCTAGTTACTAAACAATTTTCTCACCATGTAGTAATTATTCTTGGTCGGACATAGATGCCTCTGCAGAGCCGAGAAGCAGATCTCGGACACTCTGCCAAGTTTTAAGAGAAATTGCCTCACAACATCTCATTGCTGGCCTTTCTAGAAATCCTTCGTTCTGGGAAAGGGCCTGGTCCTGAGCTTGTCTGCTTATCCTGCCACTTGGGAACACTTCTCCCAGAAATAAAATTTCCTTCAACACATAGACATTCCACTAAATGCTTCTACTTCCTTCAGATCCAAAGATGGGACTAGAGACACATTTGTTGTCTATTAACATGAAATAAGGTGATGTTATGAATTTATTCAACATTCTATAGTTCCTGTCTCATTGAAGCTAAATACTTTTGTCCTTCAATGGGCTATTTTCTGGGTAATGACACTTAGGTACTAGACAGAAGTAGAGGGCAAAATAATTTGTGGATAATCCAAAACCATTGACGGGACTTCAGAATACAGCATTTGTGTATTCTCTCAGGGAGGAGACAAATAAAGATTCGTGGGGGCTGGTGAAGATAAGAAAGCTGAGAACAGACCTGCCTTTTATAGGTGCCAGATGCCCCAGACTGAGTGATGAACAAACCGCACTGTGGGACACTTAGTGAGCTGGGCTTACAGTTGGAATAGTGGGGTTGTCAGTGGAATTATCTTTGAGGTTTTCCCAAGGATTTTGCTGGTAAAAAAAATGAAAAGAGGACCCAGCTTCATAAGCACTAACATGTTTCATAGGGGTTATGTGCCAGGCACAGTTTTATCAGTACATGCACTGCTTGATTTCACTCCTACCGTCCCTCTGTGATGCGGGTTATGAAACACAAGGACATAGCACATTAAATCTCAAACTTAAAATTTGTTTCCAAAACTGAATTCTAGATTTCCTTTTACAAAAAGCTACTCTGACTCCTCCCCCATGAAGGCGTTCCCTCTTTTCAGGAAAGTATCCCCCATCTCTTCAGTTCTGCAAGCCAGAGTCTGGGTATTACCTTTAATTCTTCTCTTTCCTGCCCCTTCACCTCCAGTACCTTATCAAGTTTGGTCAAGTATACCTCAGAATGTATACCTCAGAATGTATCCGCTCCATCACCATTGTCCCCTCACTAGTGCCCACTGTAGGAGTTTCCAGGTATGCCCTTCTAGTGCATTCTACATACAGCAGATGCCAGAGGGATCTGTAAAGGTAAATCATGCTAGTTCCCTGCTTAAAACCATTTCATGGCATTGGGATACTGTTAAAATAATAACTACATTATTGTGGCCTGTGTAGCCCTACATAGTCTGCCCCTGTCATCTTCTTTAGTCTCATGTCTCTCAGCTCCAGCTGCACTAGTTTTTTCTGATCCTGGAATGTGTCAAACCTCTGCGTGGTCAGTGCTGCTCCCGAGGTCTGCTGCTAGCCTTTTAGGCACTCAGGTGTCAGGCTAATGCTGATTTGTAGAGAGGCTCTGCCTACTTCCCCAGGATAAGGTAGATACTCCTATATCCCAGTCTCATATGTCATCCTTCTAGGTATCCTACTCTCTATACAGCTGGTTTTTGTTTTATGTTAACAAAACCCTAAAGCCTCACAGACTTTAAACAACAGGCTTTCTCTCTTGCTCGCTCTCCATGCCCATCTGGGTCATAGGGTTTCTGCTCCATGCTGACCTCACTCAGAGTTCAGGCTGACAGAGCCCCATGAGCTGGAATGCCTCTTGTCCCATCAGCGAGAGGGAATGAGGTAGGCTGCACCTTTGCTTAAAGGCTTGCACCTAGAAGGGACTCAGGTCACCTCCACTTACATCATACTGATGAAAACAAGTTTGATGGTCATTCTTATCCTCATGGGGTAGGGGAGGCCACCCAGCCATGTGCCCAGGGGAAGTGGGATGTGGTAGATAGCACTAATGACTTCCTTCCTCCCTCCAGAGTGTATAAATGATAGGCAGGGAGGGGATGTTCTGCATCATTTGTAAAGTATATGTATATAAGTGTGTGTCTCATTCACCCCATCTCCAAAATGAGGATCCTCACCATAATAATAGTCCTACCTACTTCATAAGGAGGTTTTAGGATTGAATGAATTAAGTCCTTAGCATGGTGACTGGCATAAGAGTTCAACAAATGTTAGGTATGACGAAAATGATAAATATGGTGATATTTAAGTCTCAGTTTAATAGAAGAACACACAAGTGGATGCAGGATACTATGTAGAAAAATCTTTATTCATCAAGGGTATGAGAAGGAGATTGAGCCGCTCAGGATTTTAATTGAGAATTAATGGACCTAGAGTAGGTAGCTCAATATTTTATATGAGCAAAAGTGAAGGAAAGCTCTTTCTGTATGCACGCATATATAAAGCTAAATTTATGCATTATTATTACTTTTAAGAATCTGGAAATGTTATGCAAAAGCATGGTGTCAGAAACACTGCTTTTCTATCATTTGTTTGTAAGCCTAACACTTGTTCCCACGGGGTCAGTGCAAGCATGATTGCAGCTGCTTAAAATGAAAAGCAGTGAATTATATTATGTGAATATAATTCATATGACTTTGAAAAAAAAATGAGGATGCTCGGTCCCATGACTTCTAATTTAAAAGATACATAAAGCACAGAGTACTCCTTGCAAAATGAGAACTCTTGCATCTCCTTCCTCTTTGGTATTCAGAGTTCATCTGTCTGTGCAGTGTAGAGCTTGGGTAATTAGAGTTAATCTAATGTTTTAAGCTTTTGGGTGGACGGAGTAAATAAATACACATCTGTCTTCCAAGACATAAAAGTATCTGTGCAAATAGAAAAACTGTTTAAAAAATAATTTATAGCTATAAAATGCCAAAGTATTATTCAAATGTTATCTCACAGTGAGACCTTCCCTGACTACACTATTTGAAGTCACAGGTCCATCTCCCTCCCTTTCTTTGTTTTCCTTTTTAACATTTGTCGCCATGTGATATACTATACAATTTACTTGTTTATTGTTTGTTTCCTCCCAGTAGAACCTAAGCTCCAAGAGGACAGGGGCTTTTGTTTGTTTTGTAAACTGCTGTATGCACAGCACCAAAACAGTGCATGGTACAATAGATGTGTCTAATGAACTAATTAGTGAAATCTCTTAACATAATATTTACTCAGTGCACAACATTGGGTTTGACTTGATGGGTTGTACATAAGAGGTATAGGACATTCTCATAGCCTTGAAATAAACATGACATTGCTGTGGAAAAATGAGCGTGAAGATACGTACATAAGTGCTGTGGACTAGAACAGAATGTCGCCCGTACTTGGTAAATGAGAAGGTGATTGTTGGCTGGAGAGGACATGCAAGGGCCGTTTGTTAAGATATGGTTTAATTCATTTTGCAAGTTTTACAGCAATTTGTGTGATAGCAAAGACTGATTTCACATTTGCATAATTTTGAGTTAGTACTAACAAACTCTCTACAGCCCAACATTCAAGTCTGGAGTGATGGAATCCTTGCTGCCCAAAGTCCACATCAAGGGTGACACCAATTCAGAACTGAAGATTGTGTTTTAGCCTTGAGCTCAAGTGGAAGAACTTTACATTTGGGTAGATTCGCGACATGCCATCGTGACTAGATTGTGGATGATATGGGGGTAGCCCCTGCTGCCTCCTGTCCTCACATTGTATGTGACTCTTTAATGTCTTACGGTCGTGATGGCCAGAACACCTGCTTGTATGAGCAGTGAGAAAGGATTGACCACGTGATATTCTTCCTGTCAAAGAGAGACAGCTTGGGAGAAACCCAAGGTGGGGGTAGATGGGTAGATGGGTTTTTAATATCTGAGGGTAAGCCAGTGAGGATATATAAGCACGTTTAGTGTTTATTTTAATATTTGGGTAGCACTTTAAAGTTGTCTAGGTATTTTTAGATGGTAGTGATAATGGCTAGGGGAGAGAGGTGACACCTTTTATGTGCTGGAGTATATTCTCATTTCATTGTCACAGAATCATATGGGCTAGCTATTCTCCATAGATGCCAAAGAGAATTATAGTGTTGTTGTGATAACAAAACTAGTAAGTGGCGGAACCAGGTTTCGAGCACAGTTTTCTAGGCTAAATTGTGTGCTGTTTCTGTTACTTGTTCTGACAGGAAAAAGTGAACTTCATGTGACTGTCTTTTAATACAATCAAAGATTAATTTTATGTGAAACAGAAACACTCTAGAAATATTTCTAAGCCTATCATATTCAATAAGTAAGGTACTTACCTGTGGCAGCCAGTTTGAAAATGTGCACTTATTTTCTTTTTTAATATCACATTGCAGCCTTATGTCTTCCATAACATATTCTCCTAAATTAGAACGTAAGACATCAGAGTGCATAGTACCACCAGACAGTGACAACGAGAAGGGAGAAAGAAATAGCAAACGAGTCTGTTTTAATATGGCAGGAGATGAGCAGGAAGATTCAGGTCATGACACCATCAGCAACAGAGACTCTTACAGGTAATTCATTAATTCCTTAAACTCATCTCATCAACACAGTCAAATGTGATTCCTTATTTTCCACAGAGGTCTTGAAAAAAACATTTCGATTATCATTTTTGTTCATTGCCCTCACAAAATAACCGCCGGCTATTACCAACCCCAGACAAAGCATAGTGTGGTCCTGTAGAATCTTTCAAATTATTCTTTTTTCATAATCTGAGTAATTTGGAGAAAGCATTTTTTTCTCCATCTCTGTGGACCTAATTTGGGGGACTTGTTCTGTTACAGATTATGTAACCTGTATAGCAGATAAGCAAGTTGAGCCTATATTAACATTTTTTTCAGATATCTGTTTCTGATTATTGGACTGTCGGGTGGTGAATAGGAGTTCTTTTTGTTGTGTTTCTACCCTTTTTTTCTTATATTCTGTGTTCTAAGGGAATTGGACTAATTTTTCCTGCTCACCTCCATGACCAGCTTTGTGTCTTTTTTTCTTCTCTTGCACACATTCTAAAGATTTTTTTATTATTATTATTTGAGAGAGAGTGAACGAGCGAGAGCAGGAGCAGTGGGGAGGGTCAGAGGGAGAGGGAGAAGCAGACTCCCCACTGAGCAAGGTGCCAGAAGCGGGGCTCGATCCTGGGACCCCGGGATCACGACCTGAGCCAAAGGCAGACGCTTAACCTGCTGAGCCACCCAGGTGCCCCTCTCTTGCACACTTTCTGTACAATCTTGGTAGGATTGCTGTAACAAAGTACCAAAGACTGGGTGGCTTAAACAGCAGACATTTATTTATTTGTATTCCGACAGTTCTGGGGCAGAAGTCCATGATGAAGGTGTCAGCAGGGCTGTTTTTTTCTGAGGTCTGTGCAGGAAGAATCAGGTCTAGGCCTCTCTCCTTGGTTGTAGATGACTATCTTCTCCTTAATGACTTCATTTTAACTTGATTAGGTCTGTAAAAACCCTCACTCCAAACAAGGTTGTATTCCTGGGCCCTGAGTGTCAGACTTCAACCTCTGGATTTTAGGGGGAGATGCAATCAACCTGTAACACCTTCTCCAAAGCCTTGTCATCTGCCCACCATCATCCTTCCAACGATGGCGGCTCCAGTGAACTTCCTTACGTGAAAGTGCTAGTTCTCCTTTGATCCTCATGTCACCTGACAACTCATTGAGAACTGTCATCACCGGCCATATGTGCTGCATGTGTGGCTTCAGCATCTCCTGTCTTATTTACTTTAAAGACCATTTATTTGAGAGAGAGAGAGAGAGAGAGAGAGAGAGAGAGAGCACATGAGCGGGAGGGGCAGAGGGAGAGGGAATCTCTAGCAGACTTCCTGCTGAGGCTCGATCCCATGACCCTAAGATCATGACCTGAGCTGAAAACAAGAGTCTGATGATCAACCGACCGCGCCACCTGGGCGCCTCCTGTCTTACTTACTTTAATCAAAGACAGAACCTCTCTTATTCACTGTTATTTATTATACCGTGTTTTACAATGAAAAACTATTAAGCAATTACTATTGAAGTTATTCTCCGCAGAGATGTTTAGCACAAACTAATAGCTAACATTAAAAACATTTTTACCAGACACATGGGGAAGCAGGATGATCTCACATAATTCCCAACACAGCCCTGTGTGCCACATGCTGATATTAACTCCATTTTACATGTGAAGAAGCTGAGGCCACAGGAGTTACATAATTTACCTGTGAAACCAGGTGGTCTGGCTCACGGTTTCTCTCTTAACCATTGTACGATCCCAATTTCTACATGAAAAGGATTTTAACAAATATGTAAGAGTTAATTATTCCTAGAGATTTAATAGTTTATAACACAGATTAACCAGCTTTACCATTTCATTTACTTTTAGCTTCAAAGGATACCAGTAGACTGTTCAATAGGAACCTGTGGTTTTTCTCCAATGGGAAATTACAGATCTAAAAATACTTCCTTACCTCAATTTCTAGTTATCAGATAATTAAAATTACCCTCCGAGTCTCCCTCTAGGTTAAACTAGAAATTTTAAATGTAAATTTAGAGTTAAATAAGTCCTTTTTACTGATTCTGAGAGGGGGAAAAAGTATTTTGTCTCTTGTACTCTTTCTGAAATCTATCATTTGTCCATATTCACATACAAACCTTTTACACATTCTTTCCTTCGACATTGATCATTATCAAGCACTTACCAGGTGTGGTGGCCAGTGCTGAGCTCTGAGGGGGAGACAGGGTGCCGGTCCCCTCCGGGGAAGCTCAGACTGCAGCTGATGAGTTATAATTGAAAGCTACCAGAAAGATTTAAAAGGCAGAGATCATGAAACAGGACCTTGTCTCTATCAGCACATTAACTACAGACATGCCACCTCAAATAGATAATGATGAATTTTTTTTTTAAAGATTTTACTTTTTTATTTGACAGAGAGAGGAAGAGAGAGAGAGAGTACAAGCAGGGGGAGAGAGAGAAGCCTCCCTACCGAGGATGGAGCCCGATGCGGGACTCGATCCCAGGACCCTGGGATCACTACCTGAGCCAAAGGCAGTAGATTAACCAACTGAGCCACCCAGGTGCCCCGATAATGACGAATTTTAAGTGTGGTTTGACTCCTAGTTTTCTACCTTCAGATTAAAAAAAAAAAAATCATTCAGGATCAGCCTATACGGCTTCAGAGATTTTGAAATACGATTGAATTTAAACTTTTCTAAAGTGTAAGATAAAATATGAGTCGAACCAGATTTATCTTTCTCGTCATTTTCTCTAAGACCTATCAGTAAGTCTAACTGTGGCATGACACGTGTATCTGATAAGAACTGGCAGGGCGATGACAAATGCACGCCCAAAGTGACGTGTGCCTCCTTCTTCCCAGCGACTGCAACAGCAACAGGAATTCCATCGCCTCCTTCACCAGCATCTGCAGCAGCCAGTGCAGCTCCTACTTTCACAGCGATGAGATGGACTCAGGTGCGTTTGCTGAGGTGTGCGTCCTTTCTGCTCCCCGTCCTTTGGGGGATACCTCTCAGGGATTACACTGTGTGATCGACCTGCATTTTCACCTCGTATCAGTCATCCTTGGCAGCCACATGTGCTGGATGAAGTCAACGTCCCAATCCCCTTGTGAACAGAGTGAATTAAAAAGAGACAAGAGAAACAAATGAAGTCTGATCTTAATACCTATTTTAGGAGTTTTCATGGTACTACAAGGAGGCTAGGTACACAGGAAACAGGTTGTACTAAAACATGAGGGGTTGTTGACTGTGTGAGGAGGCGGATCGGGCTTTGAACCTGAGGACTTCTGAGACAGTAGGTGCATGGGGAGCTGAATGATGAGGAAAACACTGACTGATAGAAAGATCTTACAGATATCTTATCTGGGGTGTGTTAAGAACAAAGACTTCGCATCCGATTAGGACACATCTTCATTTTGAAATATGCAGTTTATTTCAACTATTTAACAGTTAGGAAACTGCACTGTTTGAAAAAATTATTGACATAAGATATATATTGTTTTTTCCTGTGAGGCACTCTGCTCCCACCTCTATTTCAAAGAGCAATCATCTGATATCCTAATTGCTATTAAGTCCTTTGGAATTCTTTATCTGATCATGAGAACATGATGGAATAAGAGTGCGTGTTTAATTATTATTTTTTAGTTTTATTTATATTAAAATATTTTAGCATGTTAAACAAAGACGGATGATTTATTTTTTTATATCCAGGTGATGAGCTCCCCCTCAGCGTTCGCATTTCTCATGATAAACAGGACAAGATACATAGCTGCCTGGAGCATCTTTTCAGCCAGGTATGATTGGGACAATTATGGGGTTTTTTTTTTTCCCACAGATCAAACTGTCAGGAATCCCTTTTTCGGACATAGTAAAAAGAGCTTAGAGTAAGAATGGAAAGGCCTCAGTCTGTCCCTCCATCCCCTTCACCTCAATTTCCACAATTTAAAAGGCAATAAATATTCTTTAGCCAACGAACCCAAAGGATTGTTGTGACTGTCAAATATTTTATGGTTCTTGGAAGAAGTACAGTTATAAAAACAGAAGTTATTCTTTTTATTATTTGTTTCTTTGTAGGTTTTCAGAATTCTTTATGACACTTCTTGCTTAACTTTATTCCTAGTTTCAAGAAGGTCAAGATTCTCTTGGTGTTTGTGTTGGTGTTTTGCATTTTTTAAAAAGAATTATATCCATAACCAAAATTCCTAGTGTAAAAGCTTTTACTGCTTTGAAAAGGATTATGATGACTTTTAGGGTTTTTAAAAATAACTCTAGAAATCTTCTTTTATAAAATGAATATATTGAGTATATTTATATCTTATATTAATATATGATGGGATAGTAAGAAATTTTGCAAGTGTTAGTGAGTTTATTCCAATATTTGATTTAAAGATAGATTTTGCAAGCATCATGAGATTGCAGAAATAATTGTGGCTTTAAGACAAAAATATTTCACAAGATTTACTCTTGGAAATGTATATTACTTATTGTGAGAAGTATGTAACTTTCAGAAATCTCTGCTGTTATGGTAGGTGGATTCTATTACCAACCTCCTAAAAGGGCAAGCTGTTGTAAGGGCCTTTGAGCAAACCAACTACCTCACACCAGGTCAAGGATTACAAGGTAAGATTTAAAAAATCACTATTATAAACAATCGGGAAACAAAGGAGGGAAATAATACAGTCATGAAGTAAAAGCATAGTATAAGAGGAAAATGGCTGCTCATGTTTCATAATTCCCTTTATATTAATTCTATTTTGATCATTTTTGAATATATATAAAAAGTCTGTATAGGAGCTTTTAAATTTCTTTGCAAGTTTAAAATGTGCAATGCCTGTGGGGACTAGAATAAATAGGAATGAGTTAATTGAAGAGATATAAGTGTGGCATATGTGTGAAGTGTTTCAGCTTTTGCTGAAACCAGCATAATGCCTACTTGGTTGTAGCCCATTGGTTGGGGGAAGGGGTCTCGGGAATGTGCTTTTGGCAAACAGAACAGCCAAACAGAACAACATCTAGAGCTGCCACTTTCTGACGTCTAGTTTCAGATGTTGAAAATAGAGTTTTTATCTAAATTTGCTCCTTTGTTTCAATGTTTGTAAGAAAATAATAAGGTTAGTCTTTCTTTTTTAGATTTAACCGATTTTCTCCTGTAATGTAACTAGAGAAAGTACCACCATGCTAATAACCCAGGACATCAGGAATGAAAGAGGATGCTGAAGCTCACAGATTTGTTAACCGTTTGGTAAATGATTGAAACTTACAAGAGATTTTCTGTATTTATTTAGAATTTCAGCAGGAAATGGAACCAAAGCTGAGTTGTCCAAAAAGGTTAAGGCTTCACATCAAGCAAGACCCTTGGAATCTTCCCAGCAGTGTCCGGAATCTTGCTCAGAACATCAGAAAATTTGTTGAAGGTCAGGATGAAAAGCAAAGAATATTGCATAGTATCAGCAATAATCATTTAAAACCAAAAGTTTGGTAATGCCCTGATTACTTTTTGCAGTGTTTCATATTATGAGGAAAATCAAAGAATTGGAAAGGGTGAGGGAGGAAGGAAGCAAAAGAAAATAGGATTTTAGAGCCTTATGTTCCAAGGATCTAAATGATGTACACTGTTATCATGGAGAATATTCTCAGTGAATAAAATAAGGGCTCATACTTGGGAGGACGTGGAATGTGGAGAGTTTCATATTTTATAAAATGAAACAATCTCAGCAAAATTTCTAAAGGAGTCCCGAAAGTCATGAAGCTAAGTTTTATGGGAAGCCTAAAAAATTAATTGTGCATCTGTGAGAATCAAAATAATAGGATAGCTTATATCATTGGTTTATAAGTTTCGTATTTGTCTAAGTTTATTGTTATTAACTATCATGACATTGTTTACTCAACATCCTCTAATTGATACAATCTGCAGCTGGAGATACAACATTTCAGGACAATTCTAGTGCATCTGATTACGTGTTGTTTAGGGTCAGGGTACTAAGTAGAAAATTCTGAGAGTTTCCAAAACAGATATGGTGGAAAAGATGAAATGAGAAATTTGTTTAATGTTTTAAAATGCCTAATTCAGTGATTTTCTTCCCAGCATTAGACCAGTGGCTGGCGATGTCTGGAGATATTTTTCGGTTGTGACAATTGTGGGGCTGCCACTGGCATCGAGTGTGTAGAGGCGAGGGATGCTGTGCAACGTTCTGCAGTGTACAGGACAGTCCCTCACAACAAAGAATTATTTGGCCCAAATGTCAATAGTGCTGAGGTTAAGAAACCTCCACAATAAATAAGTATATGCCTGCATTTAAATTTTTATTCCTCAGCCGTTTGTATGTCAGTTGCATGTGGTAAGTAGTACTCAGCAGAATTACAGCATGCCCCCAGTCACTGCCATCTTTTTTAGGGTAAATTAGAGAGAGTTGTATACTTTGCTGACGAAAGACAGCTCTTAAATCTGGTAGAGTCTGAGTCTGTGACATAACTCTTTTGGGCCTCGGTTTCTTCATTTACCAAATGACAGAGATATGTATATGTTCTGTGATTAGTAAGTCTTCTGCCTCGAAATATACTCAAATATAACAGCTTAGATACTTATTAGGGATCAGTAGAGGAAAGGTTTGTACAGATACGGAAAACTCCAAATAAATCACGGCAATTCTATTGTGTGAAAAAATCTTTCGTTTTTGACACTGGATTTCTTGGCTACATTTTTATTTTATAGCTAAATATAATGGTTACTGGGGCGCCTGGGTGGCTCAGTTGGTTAAGCCACTGCCTTCGGCTCAAGTCATGATCCTGGAGTCCCTGAATCGAGTCCCGCATCGGGCTCCCTGCTCAGCGGGGAGCTTGCTTCTCCCTCTGACCCTCCCCCCCTCTCATGCTCTCTCTCTCTATCTCATTCTCTCTCTCAAATAAATAAATAAAATCTTTTAAATAAATAAATAAATAAATATAATGGTTACTTGTGATAGATTATAACGTCATATTTAATGAAAAGTCTGAATTTAGAACCTCCCAAAGTAATGAATAAAAAAAATGATAAATACATTTTGTAAAGACGGCTTGGTTTAAGGAATTTAAACATATATTTTACTGAGTAAAAAGTTTTTGTTTTTATCTTTTTGTAGAATAAGTACCAGTATCATAACACTCCTAGGAATTATAATTCATGAATCTAAATGCACTTGTTCTCTCTACCGCTGAAACTAATCATACACTATGTGTTAACTAACTTGAATTTAAATAAAATCTTTAAAAATATATAAATGCATTTGTTCTCATCATCTTTGAGGGTTTTTTTTACATTATAATTGTTTTCGGAGTAAATGCAATATCAGTTAAGAACAGAGAAATCTTGAAACCTTTTCTTGTTTTGTTTTTTGAGGAGCTTTATCTTTAAGATATAAACTTTTTCTAATGCAGGATAAAAAGCTTAATTTTTTTTAGAGAAACTTTTTTATCTTTTTATTTTATTTTATTATGTTATGTTAATCACCATACATTACATCATTAGTTTTTGATGTAGTGTTCCATGATTCATTGTTTGCGTATAACACCCAGTGCTCCATTCAATGTGTGCCCTCTTTAATAAGCTTAATTTTTAATGGTATTTGTTTTAAAAATCTTACATTTTCATCTTAAGTCCCGCTTTTATACCCTCAATACCTCACTCAAATCACAAGAAGCAGCTGTAGGAATGAGAACTATTTACACATATTGATTGATGTATATTGTGAACATGGATGCCACTCTTGGTCAGGGGTGCCCAACAGCTGGCTGAGTGTGGTTGGGTTTGCTGAGTGTCTTCCAGTGAATGGTGTGGGGAGGGCTCTTTGCAGAATTTAAGTTACAAACCTGGTTGCAAGTTTTAGTGAGATGCAGTTATTCTTTGCATAAGTGCTGTGATTGTCACTATGTTAAGTGAGTCTTTAAAAAATGATTAATCACTAGTTCAGCCCAATGGACTGTCAAGGAAGAGGTCATGCTGTCATTTCCTGGTCATCCGTGTGTTGTCTGGTCCTATTATACAGGATGGAAGCAGCAGCATTGAGATCCTTGTAATCAACTGCTTGTTGTATTAGAAGTAACCTCACCAATTCATTATGAATTTATTCTATTCAACTTAAAGTAATTTTCATTCTATTTCCCAATTGTCTTTATACAGGGAATTGTTTAATGAAGAGTTAGGTCTTGGCTAGCAATATAACATAATGTCGCCTTGCCAGAATTTCGTGGTTTATATATGTAGCTGGGATAACCCCATTCTCATGTTTCTGTAGGGGAGGAAAAAAGTAGTGTCTTTTTTTCCTTCTACCCTTCTAGGTTCTTTGGCTGGGCTCTATAAATTAGTCAGACTAAAGACAAATTAACAAGGGAAACACATAAATTTATATAATATGTTTTACATGATACAGGAGCCTTTGTAAGGAAATGAAGACCAGAAGAAATGGTTAAACCTGAGTGCTTTTATACTAGAGTATAAGCTTTTATACTAGAGTATAAGTATAAGCTAAGAGTAGAAAGCTTTGGAAAAATGTGATAGGACGAAAGGGTATGTGCTAAGGGTAGTGAACTAGAGAAATTTAGCAAAGCCTGTTCCTTTCAGTGTCCCTCTATCATTGGAAATAAGGAAGCTCCTTTCCTCTGGGATTGGGAGGGCACTTCTCACAAAAGGGTTTTATGACCAGTTTCAGGGGAGTTGGGGGAGGTCAGAGAGTCCTCCATACACCTGCTGTTTATCAGATTCCTTCAGCTTAAAATTTTCAGTATGCCAAATTGCCATATTTGGGGGTAGCATGTTCTGAACCTCATGATTCGTTCATCTCTGAGTTCAAAATATCCTATCAAATATATACCAAATGGTATCAAAATATAATAATTCTATGGTCTTTATATAGGAAGCACTGTTACAGTGCCATTCCTAAGCTACATCACACTGTGTCATTCATGTGTTCATATCATAGCTTGCCAAACTGAGGGTAGAGGAGAGCAGAAAACACAGTGCGCTGAATGGGGGTTAGATTCATTTTGACGTGTCACTAAACACTAAGACAATGCCTGCCGCCTGCTTCATCACTACACTAAATTATGGTCTCAAATTATCAGCCAACTGAAGATGTTTTTACTTGATTAGCACACTGTGATACTGTGTTTTATATAAGAAATATATATTTGGTCTTTGTCCCCTTTCCTGGCACAGACTTCCTGAAACTCTTGGAATTTCTTATGATGAGGACGATAAAGGTATCTTTTGTTATGGCAGTGAGGTGACTTTTGGAAAACTTCTCAGAATGGTCGCTGGTTGCCAAGGAAGCCAACCATGTGATTAGAGGGTTGGAACTTTCAGTCCCACCCCCAACTTCTGGGAGTGGAGAGGGGTTGGAGATTTGAGTTCAGACACCAATGACCAATGATTTAATCAGTTGTGCCCATGTAATGAAGCCTCCATAAGATCCCAAAAGGATAAGATTCAGAGAGCTTCCACATTGGTTCTAGAAGAGTGGTGCATGTAGAGAGCATGGAAGTGCACCATTTCCCCATGCATTACCCAGTGCCTCTTCCATCTGGCTCCTGAGCTATATCCTTTTACCATAAATGGATGATTTAGTAGGTAAAATGTTTCTCAGAGTTCTGTGAGCCACTGTAGCAAATTAATCAAATGTAAGAGAGAGTCACTGAAACCTCCAATCTGTAGCCAGTTAGTCAGAAGCATAGATGACTTGTAGTTGGCACCTGAAGTGTGTGTGTGGTGGGGGGCAGTCGTGTGGAACTGAGCCCTTACCCTGTGAGAACTGATGCTATCTCCAGGTAGATAATGCCAGAATTGAGTTGAATTATAGGATACCCAGATAGTGTTAGACAATTGCTTGGTGGTGTGGGGAAAAAAACACACATTGGAACTGGTGATAGAATTGGACCCACCATCACCTTAAATTCAAATGTTTATTAGTAAACACATTTTCAATTCTTGCCCCCTACAAAAGTTGTACTCTTTCAAAATCTCCCATTGTTTCAGCAGCTTATATATTTTTTTTCATTTTTTTCCCTCTGCCTTTGTCCCAAATACCCTAAAGAACTTCTTCCTTTTTTTTTTTTTTAAATCAAAAGTCTCCAGTTTTCCCCTTTTTCTTCTTACTTACCTCAGTAATTGGAACAGCTTTCTGGATAATACCCCATCTCTGTCTTTTCTGATTTATATGTTACTATATACTATATTCAACTTCCTAAAATATTATGTTCATTTTAGTACCCTGCCCCGGAACCATACAGGGATTTTTGTTAGATAAGTCTAAACTCATCAATCTGATGTTGGATGCTGTTTTTCAATGAGGCTTTCTAATTGTATCCCAATCTCAGTCTCTAAATGACATAATAAAATCTTTTCTATGCTAGATTGTTGGATATTTGGTATTCATTCTTTACTATATTCTCTTGCTAGCACTCTTTCCCACTCTTAGGATATGTACCTACTCCCTTGACATTGTAACTTTAAAAAATGTTTAAAAACATTTTCAAGACTCAGAATTCTATACCAACTTTTTAGGTGGATTCAGATTACAATAATAACAGTGCTTCACAGATACACAGCATGTTAAATAATTTTCCAAGGCTTTTAATATATATCCCCATTTATTTTTCATACACAGGCCTATAAAATAGATAAGATAGGTGTTATCATCACTTATGAATGAGCACCTTGAAACTCAAAGTATGGTTGACCATTGAACAGCATAAAGGTTAGGGGCACTGACTCCCTGCATAGTCAAAAACCTGTGTATAGTTTTTGACTCCCCCAAAACCTCACTACCAAACTCACTGCTGAACAGAGCCTTACTGATAACATAAACAATCAGTTAATACATATTTTGTATATTATATGTATCCTATATTGTATTCTTTCAATTAAGGAAGCTAGAGAAAAGAAAATGTTAAGAAAATCATGAAGAAAAGAAAAATACATTCACAGTACTATACTGTGTTTATAGAAAAAATGTCACATATGAGTGGACCCATGCAGTTCAAACCTGTGTTGTTCAAGGGTCAACTATGGTTTAGCCATTTTCTGAAGACCACAAAGCTAGTACAGGAGTACCCCATTATCCACTGTTTTGCTTTCCTTGGTTTCAGTTACTCTTAGTCAACAACAGTCCAGAAGGAGATGATCCTCTTTCTGACTTATTGTCAGAAGGTCAATAGTAGCCTAACTCCTTGTCACAATGCCTACATCATTCCCCTCACTTCATCTCATCACACAGGCATTTTATCATTTCACATCATCACAAGAAGGATGAGTATGGTACAATAAGATATTTTGAGAGAGACCACATTCACGTAACTTTTAATACAGTATATTATTATAATTATTCTATTTTATTATTAGTTCTTGTTGTTAATCTCTTACTGTGCCTAATTTGTAAATTAAACTTTGTCATAGGTATACATATGTACAGGAAAAACCATAGTATATATAGGGTTTGGTATTATCCCTGGTTTCAGGCACCCACTGGGGGTCTTGGAATGTCCCACATAGATAAAGGGGGATGACTGTAGCAGATAGGTCTTGTGACTCTTCATCCAGGGTACTTTCCTGCCTCTGAAATTCTCTTGTTCTTGTGTTCTCACTTATAAAATGTAATGTCCTCTCAAGTATCTCCTATATTTCTTATCAGGTAATTTTGTCACTCTGACTCTATTGTGAACCTGTTTGGATTAGGATGCAACTTAACCTTTTTTATTTCCCATAATCTTGGACACATAGAGAAGCTCTGTATGTTTTTATATTTACTTATTGCTAGTAAGCTATTTACCAATTAGAAGTAAAGCAATGAGTATGAAGTTAATACACATCATTTAGCAAACATTTGTGATTGTTCTTGTTTGGAGATAGGTTGGGAAGAAGAGTATTTGGAACTATTTAGTATTCTGCCCTTTAGGGCAGTTCTTGACTTATAGATTGGAAAGGAAGTCTAGAGAGAGAGATTATATATGTATAATATATACCCTGTGTATATTACATATATATATGTATACACATATATGCATGCTATATAATCTCTAAGTATAATCTATATAATTACATATAATTTATAATTCTAATATATAATGAACAATATATGTATAATTATATATAAAGATTATAAAATGCATATATAATCTTTAAAAATTTAAGTAACTAAGAAAAAATACTGTTTGAGAGCTTATTGATCAAGACCCTAATACCTATAGGAGTTTAGAGAACACCATGCAAACTACAGCAGTTAAGGATGACTTAACAGAGGTAGCAGGATTTGAATGGTGTTTCACAGGCTAATTCAATTCAGAACTGTAAGAAATTTTAGCATCTTGAGCAATGGATAGAATTTATATAGACAGATAGGAAGAATAGCATGTCAAGTAAACGGGATTTTTATTATCTAATATAGTAAGATTGTGCTAATTTTTACACAGTTAAAATGTGGTGCTAGTGACAGAAGAAGACTGAACAACTAACTGTTAATGTTTTCTTTTTCTGCAGAGGTAAAGTGTAGGATACTCCTGGCTCTTCTTGAATATTCAGGTAATATTTTTCATTATTTTTACTATTTGAAACTATTGTGGTCCATGACCTTAGAAATCTCATGATACCAATGCAATGCCTTCAACAAATTAGATGGAAATACAGTCCCTACTTTCTCTAAAATCTTGCAAAGATTTAAGAAAATACTTAGTTTTAATAAAAACATAAAAACATGCTCATCTTCAATTATAGGTACAAACATGGAAATGTATATAAGTATTTATATAGAATATAATTAAAAAGGAGAAAGGAAGCAGGTTTGGGTAAAGTTAATTGTGCAAATGGGATTTATTGTGGAACTATGTCTAACTTTTGTTTATGAACAAGGATGGTGGGCTCAGATTCAAGGGGTGGAAAAGCAGACCTGTACTTTGGAAGCAGGAGTCTTTTACAATCTACCACACCTGGAAAATTTAAATTATAAGTGAATGAATGAGTCAAGTTAACCAGAGGGCTTCTTTTTGTTTGTTGGCCAGTTTTTGCTTTAATTAAACACATAGTTGTCTTGCTTTTTTGACTGAGTAATAATAATAACAAAAATATCTTACTTTTTTTAGTTTTACTAATAACCACACAGTTGATAGACCTCATATTTATGGATTTCCTTGGGTCCTCACAGTCACTCTATGAGAATATTATTATCTTTCTACAGGTTTAAAAGTGAAGAAATTAACATTCAAGCTGATTAATAATATTAACTAGAAATGGTATTCATTCAACACATATTTTTTTTTTCAACACATATTTTTGAGCATCTGGAAGATTAGATGCTTGATTGAGTAAATGCATAAATAGTAGGTGGCAGATGAAATTCAAACTTAGTTATGGCAATTCCAGAAGTGGTCCTGGAATGCATTGCTGTATTAATTAATATTCAGATGGCTATTCTTATAGATCCTTATTTTGATTTCAATTTTATTTTTCTATTCCTGTGATAAGTCCCTTTTTCCTACTTTATTTACTCACTTTTTTTCCCTCGTTTACATAGGATGGCACCAGAATGTAGCCAAATTACTCTATATTGTTGGCTGCAGAATTATGCTCTCCACTTGAAAAGGGTAGATTGTGTCTGCTAAATATTATTTTTAACTCACCTCTATTCCTATCCTTCTCTCTCTCTAATCTCTCTTTTATCTCTCTGTTGTTATTTTTTTATTATTATTTTCTTTTCCCTACAGTCACAGAATAATGACTGGGATTACTTGTGTGTCTATCATTCTTTTTAGACCAGCTATGGAATTTGAGCTTTTTAAACCGCGGAGAGTAAATAAAGTGTTACTATTTTAAAACATGTTTGTAGAATGCTCAATACTGGAATGAAACGGAAGCCTTTGATAAGTAAAACATCCATTTCTTTTGAGTGTATCCCCACTACAAGAGAATTCTTACTCTGCAAAAACAATAAGCAATAAACAAACTGTCACCAAAAAACAGCTCCCTGCTTTTCTTCTTTTGCTAGAAGCTGGAAGCAGTTGTTGTTGATCCTGCCGTAGTTCTTATTGATAAAAATGAGGAATGAGAATAGTTTTGGGGAAGGATGGACACTCGTGAATTTCGAACAGCTGTATAATTAAAAGAGACTTGTCAGTTTTTCTTGGGAGTTTGCTTATATTGGTGTCATTATTCATCAGATGGTTCCTTCCCTGGTCAGCAATAGAACTGAAACCCCACTCCGTGCCAGGCACCCTGCTAGATGCTGGAGAAAAGAAAAATCACAATAACAATACTGTGCAATTTCACTTTGCTAACTAAGCCATTTATCTTTATATCTCATTTATCTTTATTGCAGATCTAAGTAGAAATAACCCATAATATATAAAGGAATCTGATACCTAGGATTATATGGTTTAAAATGAGTGGAATGGGTAGATGAAAGCAGATTATATGTCTCTAAGTCCATGAGCACCATTCACATTATATGCTACTTCCTCTGTCCTTGATGTGCTGATGGTCTCTTGGGGAACCCAAACATGTAAACAAACTCCCACACTGCTGAGTGATGAGCCATCTAGTATAAGGATGTCCCCTGGACCGTGATGGCAGAGCAGGAACTCCATAATACCTACGGAAGGAGAAAGGAAATTTCTGAAGGGTAGTTAATATTTCGGTGGTTCAGTGGGTTCCAGTAGTTCAAGGAGTTGACTCTTTTTTTTTTTTTTAAGATTTTATTTATTTATTTGACAGAGACAGAGATAGCGAGAGCAGGAACACAAGCAGCGGGAGTGGGAGAGGGAGAGCAGGCTTCCCGCTGAGGAGGGAACGCCTTGTGGGACTCGATCCCAGGACCCTGGGATCATGTCCTGAGCTGAAGGCAGACGCTTAACGACTGAGCCACCCAGGCGCCCAAGGAGTTGACTCTTAAGGACGATTTATTTTATTTTTTTTATTATGTTCAGTTAGCCACTGTATAGTACATTATTAGTTTTTGATGTAATGTTCAATGATTCATTAGTTGCGTGTAACACCCAGTGCTCATCACAACATGTGCCCTCCTTAATACATCACCCTATTACCACATCCCCCCACCCCCTCCCCTCTGAAACCCTTAGTTTGTTTCCCAGGGTCCATAGTCTCTCATGGTTCGTCTCCCTCTCTGATTTCTACCCCTTCAAAACCCTTAGTTTGTTTCCCGGGGTCCGTAGTCTCTCATGGTTCGTCTCCCTCTCTGATTTCTCCCCCCTTCAGATTTCCCTCCCTTTCCCTATGGTCCTCTGTGCTATTGCTTATGTTCCACATATGAGAGAAACCACATGATAATTGTCTTTCTCTGCTTGACTTACTTCACTTAGCATAATCCCCAATACAGACAAAGGGCTGATATCTAAGATCTATAAAGAACTTCTCAAACTCAACACTCAAAAAAGAAATAACCCAGTCAAAAAATGGGCAGACGACATGAACAGACATTTCTCCAAAGAAGACATACAAATGGCTAACAGACACGTGAAAAAATGTTCAACATCACTAGCCGTCAGGGAAATACAAATCAAAACCACAGTGAGATACCACCTTACCCCAGTTAGAATGGCAAAAATTAACAAAACAGGAAACAACAAATGTTGGTGAGGATGTGGAGAAAGGGGAACCCTCTTATACTGTGGGAATGCAAGCTGGTGCAGCCACTCTGGAAAACAGTATGGAGGTTCCTCAAGATGTTAAAAATAGAGCTACCCGGGCGCCTGGGTGGCTCAGTTGGTTGGGCGACTGCCTTCGGCTCAGGTCATGATCCTGGAGTCCCTGGATCGAGTCCCGCATCAGGCTCCCTGCTCGGCAGGGAGTCTGCTTCTCCCTCTGACCCTCCCCCCTCTCATGTGCTCTCTCTCATTCTCTCTCTCTCAGATAAATAAATAAAATCTTTAAAAAAATAAAAATAAATAAATAAAAAATAAAAATAGAGCTACCCTACGACCCAGCAATTGCACTACTAGGTATTTACCCCAAAGATACAGATGTAGTGAAAAGAAGGGGCACCCCAATGTTCATAGCAGCAATGTGCACGATAGCCAAACTGTGGAAGGACAATTTAGTTTGCTGGTGGAGAGGGTGGGAAAGTGCCCACAGCCAGAAGACCCATGGACAAAGGTGTGAGCTATAAGAGCATTTATAAGGGCATTTAGCATTTGAGGAACCTGAGCAGTGGTGTGTAGGCTCAAAGAGAAGAGTTCTGTATAGCCAGGGTTCTGGCTACTTTCAGATATATTGTTTTGTTATATTCTCATAACAAGCCTGGGAAGATTGTTGCTGGTGTAGAGGATGAGTGAAGGGAAGTAATGCATTTATAAGCTGTCAGCGTAACTTGAGGGTAGATTGTATAGACCCCTTTCTGCCACTCTTGAGTTTTTTACCTTTATTACTCACTGGGAGGTGATAATGTGTACAAAGTTACTTGAAAAACTCAGTATGATGGGCATATTGAAGTCTATGCAAACAAGTCATTTACTCTATGGGAAATAGGAAAATGCAACTGAAAATCACCTCATAAAGTAGTAAGGAGTTGTAAGGTGTTTTTCATTTGAAAATATGTTGGTTTGAAATTTAAATGGCAGTGTGGTCCAGGGCATCTTGCATATCAAATTCTCTTACTCTACTGTGAGCATAGACATGGCCGAGGCCTCAACTTGGACACCTTCAAACCCCCAGTAATTGGTGCCATGTTTAATTCCAGTGGTGTATTCAGTGTGAAAAGTTTGAAGTAATGAAGAAATACAACTTTTGTGTGATCAGTTCTGATTTGAGAATGAGGTTGAATGAAAATTTTATTTGGCTTAAAATGCATATAGAATATAGTAGCAGAATGTAGAATAAACATTTAAGTATTCTTTCTAAGGTTTAAAAAAAAAGGCATTTCTTCTCAAAAGCAATTTGAAGATAACTATTTCTGCTAGTGGCAAAGTTACTAATCCTTGTGATCTAAAGGTTTTTCAGTGGACCTGGATCCTTCCTTCTCTAACTTGAGCTTACCATTGTTGATAGAAGGCATTTCTTTCCAATTCAGTTTTGATTATGAAATTATTCTCAGGTTATAAGTGGGAGTATTTTTGCCAAAACTACTGAAGGATTATTTTAACTTCCCTAGATTTTCTGCTTTGCTATAGAACAACAGAAAGCAAAACAAACTGTACAAGAAAGATATAGGGCAATTTTAGTTAGTTTCTGTCTTGAATCTCAGCACTGCAGCTACACATTTGGGCTAACAAGCTATGTGAATTACCCTTTTAGGTCAAACTAAATCCAGACATTTCAAGAAATCAGAGAATGAGCTCATACATTTTCATTTCACTTAATTTGTTTGTTAGTTGCTCTACTGGCTCATTATTTTCATTTATTAATTCAGTAAATAGTTATTGAATGTCTACACTTTGTTAGAAATTGTGTACAACAGAATAGGTGTTTTGCTTTTTTCTTAATCAAGAATTGGATAAAGTTTTTTCCTACTTGAGCTATTTTACAGTTACTTATAAAACACTCTTTTCCATCTATTTGAATGAAGCACATGGTATATAATTACTTAAGGGAAATGTCTAACACATGTTATTGATTAAATTAATAAGTTGAACCATATGGAATTGCCATATTCGACCATTTTGACCAAGTAAAGCAACAAGTTCATATAGATCAACATAATAAAATTATGTTATATTTTCATTATGAAATTTCATTATAAAATTAAATATTTTGAATATTTAATCCTTTTTCTAATAAAATTTTCAAGAGTAGCTTTTACTAACAGTGAAACGAGGTAACACACAGCAATTACATTATGTGTTCACATGCCTTTGATGGTTATTAAAAACATATGTTCATTGTTCTTGGTAAACAACTTAAAAATTATGCCTTTTTATCGATAAAGCAAGAACTCATGGCAACATTTATGTCTGTGTTATGCACTAATATTGACAGTGCTGCTTCATTTCAGAAAATTCTGAGCCCTTGAAATATTCAATACACTTCTGAAAATATGAGTATTTTTGCTTTTGTTGTTCATATAGTACAAGTGATTTCTCAATGTACAGAATGTATGGCTTGGCATTTATATAGTTTATGGAGTTTGTAAATATCCAAAAATGCAAAAAGGTGAATCTCTGTGATCAGGTTCTCAGAGGCAAGTTTCTTTCCACTTGAAAAAACTGTGGCCCAGGAGTGGCCATTCACAGGTAAATATAGCTTCAATATGGGTCAATCAAAAATCCAGCCAACTGCAGAATAAGAATCCTGGTGAAAATCAATGTATGTTAAAACTGTAAACACATTCCTTATTTCAAAGAAATACAATAATTTATAAACTGGACATGTTTATAACTCATGAAGTTTAATAGGTAAATCCAAGAGATCCAGATTTGCTTATTGTTACAATCAGACATCAATACTCTTTTCCCATGTGCATTTCACCTTAAGATTTGAGTAAGTTTATTAGGTCATTTAAAAAAATTAGTATTGGGGCGCCTGGGTGGCTCAGTCAGTTAAGCATCTGCCTTCAGCCCAGGTCATGATTTCGGGGTCCTGGGATCGAGTCCCGCATTGGGCTCCCTGCTCAGCAGGGAGTCTGCTTCTCTCTCTGCCACTGCCCCCTCCCCCTGCTCATGCTCTCTCTCTCTCCTCCCCCTCGCTGTCCCTCTCAAATAAATAAAATCTTTAAAAAAAATAAAAATAAAAAAATAAAAATAATTAGTATTAATAATGTATTTCATTGTCAACACAAACTGAAAAATTGGACTTTGATTTTCCCTTAGGTAGTATCATGCAACAAACACAAAGTGTGTTCCATCAAAAAATAACCAAGCCTTATTTTTTTCCCTCGGGTTTTATAAAACAATTTAATGACTGCAAAATAAAGTCACAATTAAGAAAAACTTAATTTTTTTTTTACATTTTTCTGGTGTTTAATGTTTTCTCAAAAGCATATGTGCTAAAGTGTTTGTGCTCATTAGTAGAGCTCAAATTCACATTTTTTGCATGGTTTGAGTTTGGTGAAAGGATAAAATAACACCAGCTATATACGCTTAATGAATTGGTTTTCTTTACCTGTGACATTTTTCCAAAACTGTCTTTATGTCCTCCTGGCTTACAGACAGTGAGACACAACTCCGAAGAGACATGGTTTTCTGCCAAAGTCTTGTGGCCACTGTGTGTGCCTTCTCCGAGCAGCTCATGGCAGCCTTAAACCAGATGTTTGACAACAGCAAAGACAATGAGATGGACACAGGAGAAGCCAGCAGAAGGTGGCTGGACCAGATAGCGAATGCAGGTGTTCTTTTTCACTTCCAGTCACTCCTGTCGCCAAACCTGGTAAGGAATCACAATGCCTCCCACTGGAACATACGTTGTAACATGCTCCCAAATAAGAAGTGGTTATTCATTATGTGTCAGCAGTCAGCTACTTGAAAAGAATGCATTTGACCAGGGGCAAATATGATTTGGGTAAGTAGATAGAAGGTATTCCTTCTTTCCTGATTTTTATTTGCTCTCTGGCTGCTACAAGCTGAGAAAGCCTCCATCTGTTACTAATTCCTGTATCCCTAAGCACTGAGAAAGATCATCAGAGGGAAGAGGGTCTTTCTGCTGTGGTTCCTTATTTCCAGTCCAGAAGAAACAGCCTGCCATGAAACCCAAGCTCCCACTGAGGTTGATGTTGGGAGAATGCTTGATAGACAATATCTGACAACTTGCATGCCATACTGTCTGACAGTCTGTTTAAAATTTGTGTATGTTCAATGATTTTATTTCCTTTCTTTGTATGCATGTTTGTCCTGTTAAATCTAAGAATATTCCATATTTATGCATCCATTTCCCACAGTGCCTATGAGGAAAGTATCTCAAAATATTTGACAAATAAAAGTGGTTTTTTAACATATCCTTTTTGTGGTTCTGATAGTTGTCATGATGTTTAAGGCAAATATGTTCACTCTTTATATATACACTTAAGGAGCTCATTAAATAGAATCGTGATTTTAAACATGAGATGCTGTGTCACCCATTAAATTACACACAGAATATGTGGCTACCAAGTAACAGTTGAGTTTTTAAACAGATGTATGTGACTTTATATATCAAAGCGCTTTTCTGCAATGATAATGAGGATAGGGAGGTAATTGCAGAATTGCACAGTCATAAAAGGTTCTGGAATGAAAGGTAAGGAAGTCTACCTCAGTGTACTTCAGAGAAAGAGAGGCTTTTGAAAAGACTCTACGCACTCCATGTTAGTGATCAGTTTCTTACTTGGTTGCCAGTAAAACTACGCAGATTTAACTAATGAAAATTTTGAAATAAGGCACTTTTGGAAATGCTTTAAAATTAAAAAAAATTAATCATTTCTTATCAAATAGAAATTACGTAAGATAGGAAGGCCACTTCCTAACACATGGTAGCATGAAGTGTCTGTTGAATGACTGAATGAATGAGACTTCATTCCTATTCTACTCCTACTTTAAAACTGCCATCGTTTAATCTACTAGTAGTAGAATTTCTGGGTAATATGGAAATTCTATGTTTAACATTTTGAAGAAGTGCCATACTATTTTCCAGAATGGCTACACTGACTTCAGTGTCCATCAATAGACAAATGGGTATATGATGTACAATACACACACACACACACACACACACACAGAGGAATATTACTCAGCCATAAAAAAGATGAGATCTTGCCATTTGTGACAACATGGATGGACCTAGAGGGTATAATGTTAGGTGAAATAAGTCAGACTGAGAAAGACAAATACCATATGATTTCACTTACATGTGGAATCTAAAGAACAAAACAAATGAGTAAACAAACAAAAGATAGAATCAGACCTATAAATACCACAACAAACTGACAGTTGCCAAAGGGAAGGATGGGCAAAATGGATAAAGGGGAGTGGGAGATGCAGGCTTCCAGTTGTGGAATGAATAAGTCATGGGAATAAAAGCACAGCATGAGGAAAAATAAAAAAAAGCACAGCATAGGGAATATAGTTAATGGTATTGTAACAGCATTGTATGGTGACAGATGGTAGCTACCTTTGTGATGAGCATAGTATAACATATAAACTTGTTGAATCACTAGGTTGTACACCTGAAACTAATGTAACATTGTGTGTCAACTATACTCAAATTAAAAAAATATATATATGAAATTTTTAAAAATGGCTGTACTATTTTATATTCCCACCAGCAATGTATGAGGGTTACAGTTTCTCCTTACCAACACTTATGATCATCTATTGGCTTATAGCTATCCACCTCACAAGTGTCACAGTATCTCCCTGCAGGTTTGAGTTGCATTTCCCCAGTGGCTAATGATGTTGATCATGTTTTCATGGGCTTTTTGGCCATTTTACATCTTCTTTGGAGAAACACCTATTCAAGTCCTTTGTGTGCTTTTTAATTGAATTGCCTTTTTATTGTTTTAAGTTTTAGGAATTCCTTCTAGAGTCTGGATGTAAGTCACTTATCAGATATATAAACTACAAATATTTTCTCCCATTCCTTGGGATTTCAAACAAAATTAAATTTAAAGTAAAAGTCCCAGCACTTGATTAAACTACTACTACTATGTCATATCCAAGAGAAATGAAAGCTTTCGCACAAAAACTTGTACACTGATATTCTTTGCAATATTATTCATAATAGCTTAAAAGTAGAAACAGCCCAAATGTCCATGAGTTGCTAATTGGATAAATGAGTTGTGGTACAGACATACCATAGAATATTATTCAGCAATAAAAGAAGAATGGAATGCAACATGGACGGACCTTGAAAACATTATGCTGAGTGAAGTAAGCCAGTTGCAAAAGACCACGTATTATCTGGGTCCATTATTATGTTATATGTGAAATAAGCAAATTTCAGAGACTGAAAGTAGACTAATGGTTGCCTGGGGCCCAGGACTGGGGAATAGGATGTGGGGCATGAATACTAGTGGTATGGAGTTCCTTTGTAGGGTGGTGCAAATATAGTAAAATTAGATTATGGTGTTAGTTGCACAACTCTGTGAGTATACTAAAAACGCCTATGCTATACACTTTAAATGGTGAATTTTATAGTATGTGAATTACATCTCAAGAAACTGTTTTTTTCTTAGTCTTTTGAAACCCTTAACTTCATTTAAAGATTTGATAAAAAATCCAAAGTTGCTTTAAAAAAAAACCAAAGAAACCCATATTTTGTCTGCCTCTGGTAACAAGTGCATAAAAAGTGTGGAAGGTTCTCTGGGAGCTGCAGGAGCCGGGATTGTGTGTGTTCCTGATCTGAGCACAATCCATAGTCACCTGGGTATCACTTTAGCCACATCTGCTGAAGCGTCACGGCTTGCACTATAGCAACCAGAGGCCCACCTGTTTGGGACATCTCTTCTTTGTATGTATTCTTCTTAATTGGGAAGATACTGATTCTTCAGTCCTGTCCTTCCTATTCCAGGTTCATGGCATATACTCTTGCTTACTTCAATGGACTTTAAAAAATAACAGTTCACTAAACATTTTTCCAGCACTTACTGTGTACCATATACTGCATTAAGTACCAAACCAGGGTGCAAAGGTGATGATTGTCTTAATTTTTTGGTTTCCATGCTATAGATCTTTGGGATCTGGGGTTGCCTTGGTGATTCTTTTTCACACAACAGACATTCTTTACTATCTCCTTCACCCTCTGTTCATGTGGCCTGAAAAATATGGCTATAAGCTTATGGCAACTTTTAAAAATGTATATAAAGTGGGGCGCCTGGGTGGCTCAGTCAGTTAAGCATCCAACTTTTGATCTCAGCTCAGGTCTTGATGTCAGGGTTATAAGTCCAAGCCCTGGGTTGGACTCCACACTGGGGTTGGAGCCCACTTTAAAAAAATGTATATTAAAGCATGTTAAAATCACTATTTAAAAGGATCATTGATATTCTTAAGGAAACAAATGTTACATTTAAAAGATAAGCTGTGTATGATAAGGCTAATAATTCTTTCTTCATGCACAAAACTGCTAATAGGAAGGCCAGAAGGTAGTACTAGAAAGATAATATTGCTGAGACATGCACTGAACTTGTTACCACGTCTGGGCCTTACTTGCCTCAGCTGTAAAATAATATGCTGTTAGAATGAAAGGAGTGATTAAAACAAATCAGATTGCATAGTCACAGGATTTTAGATTAAGGCCCTATAAAGGCAAGTAAGATAAAAATGATTCTTGTCCCCAAGATCTTTGGAAGAAAAATCATTGCATACATGCAAATTGCTTTTATTATTATAAACAGGATGGCAACTATGTACTGTAGCTTTTCAATAAAATGATATTCTTGCCTTTTAGCTGTTACATTTTTAAGATTATAGAAGTTTAGAGGCAGATAGATGCTTATTGTATACACATTTTTTTGTAAATGTTAAAAATCATTATGAGGAATTCTTAATCTCAGGAAACAAACTGAGGGTTGCTGGAGTGGGGGGGGGAGGGATGGGATGGCTGGGTGATAGACATTGGGGAGGGTATGTGCTAGGGTGAGCGCTGTGAATTATGTAAGACTGATGAATCACAGGCCTGTACCCCTGAAACAAATAATACATTATATGTTAAAAAAAAAAAAGATAGTAGGAAGGGAGAAATGAAGGTGGGGAAATCAGAGAGGGAGACGAACCATGAGAGATGATGGACTCTGAGAAACAAACTGAGGGTTCTAGAGGGGAGGTGGGGTGGGGGGATGGGTTGGCCTGGTGATGGGTATTAAGGAGAGCACTTATTGCATGGAGCACTGGGTGTTATACACAAACAGTGAATCATGGAACACTACATCAAAAAGTAATGATGTAATGTATGGTGATTAACATAGCATAATAAAATTTAAAAAAATCAATATGGTTTGAATCTAGCTACAAAATAGACTGAAAAGTTGTGTAGAACCATTTAGATAATCTAGAAAAAGAAAAATCTAAAACTATAAAAGAGACTTGTAACTTTGAGGGATTTGTTAATTTCATTTTAGGCAGTAAATTCTTAGATAAGTGTTGGTAATTTGGTTTGCATGTAAATAAAACACAAGTGAAGCTGCTTAAGGTCTGGCGATGTGATATTATGTTATAGTCTATCCTATACAATTCTATCATATCATGTATTGTTTCCTTTCCTTTTAGACAGATGAACAAGCCATGCTAGAAGATACACTCGTTGCACTATTTGATTTGGAAAAAGTTTCTTTTTACTTTAAACCATCAGAAGAGGAACCACTGGTTGCAAGTAAGTAGTTAAATGGTTCATAGTTGTTTCATAGAATTTTTTTGGCATCAAACAACGTATGGCATAACTTTGATGTTAATATATTTGATATATAGGGCGCCTGGGTGGCTCAGTCGTTAAGCGTCTGCCTTCGGCTCAGGTCATGATCCCAGGGTCCTGGGATCGAGTCCCACATCGGGCTCCCTGCTCGGCAGGAAGCCTGCTTCTCGCTCTCCCACTCCCCCTGCTTGTGTTCCTGCTCTCGCTATCTCTCTCTCTGTCAAATAAATAAATAAAATCTTTAAAATATATATATATATATATATATTTGATATATAGTTCAAATTGTTTTATATAAAATATTATATTTAGGGGAAAATAATAATAACCAACTGTGGAGGTGATAGAAAATATATATAATTTAAATCTATAGATAATTCTAAGCTTTTATTTTCATCTATTAGTTTGGCCTCCAAAACTTTTCTTGAGTGTGTGCATCAAAATTTTGTTCTAGTCAAGATTTTTTTTTTTCCCTGTTACTGTGATAAAATACAGAAATGATAAAGTTTAGCATTTAACCAGTTTTCAATATACAATTCAGTGGCATTAAGTACCTTCACAATGTTGTACAACCATTTCCACCACCCATCTTCAAAACTTTTTCATCCTACCTAACAGAAACTGCATACTCATTACACAATAACTCCCCATTCTTCCTCCTCCAGTCCATAGTAACCTCTATTCTACCTTCTGTCTCTATGCAGGTGCCTAGAGTACTTTGCATAAGTGGGACCATAGAATATTTGTCCTTTCTGCTGCTTTTTTCATGTCAATTTTTTTTAATAAAATGACTGCCCTAATATTTCTGGCTATAGTGGATAAACTCAATGGCCTTCAAGATTTTATGCAAATATATAAATATTATATAGCAAAACTGACTGAATTGAGTTTTCCTTTCTTATTTCAGTTGATCCTGTAGGGAATGTATTAGCAGGCAATGAATACAAGCATTTAGGGCCAAGAAGAAAGAGAGGAAACCTAAGTTATGTTCACATTGTGTAAAATTTAGATGTAAACCAATCAAGAAAGACATAATTATTTGATTTGGCAATAATGGATAAAATTTATAATTCAGAAGGTGTAAACATATATTCTCCATTTTCCCTAGCTTAACAATGGAAATTGACAATCATTACATCTGAGTGTCAAATTTTAATGTGTATAAATATAATTATATTAAGTGTCTTGATTCATTTATTCATCCTGTTCTGTTTCCAAGATGGCAAAATCTTTCCTGTCTTGTTTGCTGTCATATCTCCAGCACCCAAGAGAGTGTCTGTAATGAAAAAGGCGGTATTTTTTTTTCAAGGAAATGAATGAATAAATATCAATTAAGTGTATACAGTCAGTAGGAAAAATGGTTTTATGGCTACAAAAATAGGAGGAAAAAACAGTGTTAAGAATAAAGGAGAGAATTTCAACAGCACATAGTTGTAACTAATGTTGCAAAGAAGTTACTTTTTGAATGGAATTGAAGGATTGAAAAGTAACCCTTCAATTTTGCCTTTTGCCATCGTTAAGCCTAACAAATTTTAGAAGCATACATTCAGAGAAATAGAAATATCTAGGCTTTAATCTCTATATCTTTGCTGCGAGTTATCATTTATCTACCATTTCAACATTATCATGAATAGGTTTAAAATGTATCTATCAACCCAAGAAATCTTTAGCAGTTTGTTATTTTTCTGTTTCTTGTTTTTTTTTGGAAGTGTGAGGGTCCTATGTATTACATAAGGTAGAAGATGTGAGCTTCTTCAGGGCTGGGAAAGGTTCTTATTTATTTTCATATTCCTAATGTATAGAATGATAAGTAGGAACCCAATAAATACTCATTTAAATCATTAAATAATCATTTAATGTGATTTAAGAATGATAAGCATACATTCATTCATCAAAATTTCTTAAATGCCTACTTATGGCCAAGCACTATTCTAGGTGTTGGATACAGGAGAGTACTAAGCAAACATATCCCTCTTGGAGCTGATATTCAAGTGAGGAGAGATTAATAATAAGCAACATAAATAACTTAATTTGATCATAAACTAGAAGACAATAATATGAATGTGTGAGAGGAAATAGAAGAGAACAAAGGATAACAATGCAGGGGCAGGTGAGAGGTTGCAAATATTTAACAAGCTAGGAAAGCCTTACCAAAAAGGAGAGCAAAGACCTAAAGGGGTGGAGAGGTATTTGGAAGAGGGGTGTTCCAGACTCTGAGGTGGGAACAGGTATAGCATGCTCTCAGGATAGCAAGGAGGCCTGTGTGACTGGGGCAGCATTGGTGAGGTGAAAGAGCAGGGGATGAGAACAGAGAGGCAGCCAGACCATTGAAAGAACTTTGCCTTTCTAATTAAGCCATGGAGCAGAGGAACGACATGATCTGGCTTACATATTGAAGGCTACCTCTGACTGCTGTGTTGAATAGAGCATTGTTGGGCTCAAGGACAGAAGCAGAAAGACCAGTTAGGAAGCTACTTCAGTGGCCCAGGTTGAAAGATGACGGCGACTTGACCTTGAGGGTAGCTGTGGGAATGGTAAAAGTTGATTCTGTATGTATTAAATTATGAAGGTAGAGAGAACAGAATATTATTAAAGTTTCATCTTCACTGACAAATGAGAGAGAATGAGAACATGAATTACAGCGTTAAGGATTTAGGTTATATTCAAGGGAGAACTTGGTAAAGGGGATTAATTGATAAGGATATTATTATTTGAGTAAGTTGTATGGTCTTCTGTGGGCATGTATAAAATAGAACATATTTTCATTTACTTTAATAATGTAGGCATGATTTTGCCAAAGGCAGAGAAATTCTGTTTTCACAATATAACCTGTTTTTCCTTTTAAATTTTGCTTGAGGAGCTGTAAGCTCACAGGAGTACTGTTTTCCATTGTTCAAATATGACATTACTGGTGAGTGGTCTGTTGAACAAGCAAGCAAGGGGTCCGTGTTATAAGCTCAATAAAATACTTATTGCATAGCTACCATGAGAGATTTAATTTCAGCACATTGAAAAATATAAGAAATATTAAAGGTTAAATAATTAAGACCATGTAAATAATATTAATATGTAAATGCGCATATATCTGTGACGATCATAAAAATTCGTATATATTTTTAAGTATTTCCCCAAAGGTTAACCTCAACTTCTGTGAAAACAGATCCCTAGTGAAAGGTCACTTGCAATGCTACACTATCAGATATTCCAAGCAAGTTACTAACAGTGATGACAGGAGTATAGTTATCCTTTTAAGTTGATTCAGGAAAGAAGAGAATTTTTCAATACCCAAGTCTCATCACATCCTGTTGAAGTGGTGAAAGGAAACTAGAGCTTTATTATTAATTGCATGTGATTTGATCTTTCTGTAAGCTTAGAGGAAGAAGCGTCAGATTGACAAATTCACTTGCATCACTGTAGTGAAGACTCCTTTGGCTGCATGTCTTTGAGGGAAGGACCCAGTATGAGTACAGAGGGGAGGAAGCATGAAGATAGAAAGAGAACACTGGTTTTGAAGATAAGAAACTTGAGTTCCAACCCTGCACCCCTCTTATCCACAAACATTAGGGTACTAGCTTTCCCTGACTCATGGGGCTTAAAAAGATAATGTATTTGAAAGTCTCTAGCATTATGTGAGGCTCATGGTGGTATTCAGTAAATACTTGAATCCATCCTCCTCACTTTATTACTCTGTATTATTTTTAAAAAGCTGTATTTAACATTTCTCATCATCATATTTTTTGCATTAAAGAATAATGAGATTTGGAAGAAATATGGCATGCCAGGCAAGTAGAACTCAAATATCTGGATTGAAGACATTTTATTTTCTTTGAAGAAATAATTATTACGTATATACACCATACCAAATGCTGAACTAAGTTCTGGAGATATAGTAGTGACTAAATAAAGACCCTGTTGTTGCAACTTAGAAACTAGTGGGAGACACAAAGTGGCAAGGTACCCCCCTACAGTATAGGGAAAGTACCAGATCCTTTCTATGCCATATTATGTAATTAGTGAAGGAGCAGTAAGTGAGCTAAATGATTAGGTTGTATAAAACTAAATATATTTTATGGAAAATCTTCATGTTTTTGGAGAATAATATAATGATTGCTGATCTTCCCACCCTTTTATGGTGATGCAGGTAATTTTACTATAATGATTAGGGGAATGAATATTTTTGAGCTTCCACTCTTTCCAAATGGGCCAGGCACTGCGCCTGGAACTGTGGATGCCATGGTGAATAGGACAGACATATCCCTATCTTCATGTAGCTCACAACCTACTTGGGAGAAAACAAATAAGGAATCAATGACAAAGATGATTAGCCTCATGATAAATCCTCTGCAGGAAATAAGTAATGCATAATGAATGAGGATAAGGTGGCCTTTTAAGTGGTCAACAGGGAAGGGCTCTCAGCAGAAGTAGCTTTTAAGCTGAAATCCAAAAGACCAGCAAGACCCAACCCTGCAGAGGGTCAAGGAAGAGCAATTTAGGCAAAGGGAACTAACAACTTCCTAGAGACTTATTTTCAAACTCATGGGCCCATTCAATGACGGAGAGCCCTGCTTACAGGGATGGGATGCCGCTGTTGAAACTCCTTTCTAGAATGAATCTCTCTGTAGGGTGGAACCAGAGACCTTTTCCTTGTGCAATAATGTTTTTGAAGCCTTAAATCATTACATAGTCCTAATCATCAAGTTTTTCATAGCAGATGAATTTCCATAAATAAAAGGCAGCAATTTTCAGCTCTACATTATTATGCACTTTTATAGGTATACCAATTACTTTGAAAGTCTTCATTCTTTCACTCTTAGTTTTAACTTCATTTGAAATTTAATATGCTTGATAATGTTCGGTCATTTTCAGTTTCTTAGGTCCTGGTAGAGCATTTTTATTTGTTCTTTGTTAGTCCTATAATACAGAACTCCAACTGCTGCATTATTATTTTCCTTTCAAAAACATTATCCATTTGATAACAGAGATTGGCCACCTTGGTGCCAAAAGATAAAGGAACGGAATTTTAAAAATTGAAATATAAATGAAAGATATTGCATGAAAAAGGGAACTCAAATATACAAATACTTAGTATATACACATAGGGATTTTCTTTAGTGTCCAGGCATCCTTTTTCTTTATTATAGAGCCAGGGAAAAAAGGATTTTCCCAGTCATTAAAATCCAGTTAATTTCCAACTCTTCAATTGAGAAATGTATTCTCTTTCCTAAGCCAAAATCCTTTATATCTCCCTTAAAAATATAGAAACAAAAATAAAATAAGCATTATTATATGACATAAAAGAGACTTGTAGATGTTAATACAATACCTCTGCTATTGATATGCATAATTAGATATATTTAATAAGAAACCTGGAATCTCTGTTCCATTAATGGTATTTAACCTTGAACTCTGCTTTTACAAATAATTTTATTTAAGAAACAGGTTAGAACTAACAAATATTGAGTCAAGAACATGTATTAAATGTCTACTATATTTTTGCCTTAATTTTTAATGGATTAATATGACTATTCTAGCTTTTTTAATGAACTGGAAATTATTTGTCATGGATAAGTGACATAAAATGAAAAGGATTTATGATAGCACTGTGAAATACTCCTACAACATTGTAGCTTTTCAGGTTGGTTGTTTTTGGGGGTTTGGGTTTTTTAAAATTTTTTGTTTTTGAGTAATTGCTTTCAGGATCTTTGTGAAAACAAAGAATTTGGACAGATAATTTCTAATGACTGTAGGGGATCAACAGAGGTAATACACTTTTGATCTCATGTTCAGAGAATGGAACTTGCAAAACCCATGCTAATTTTGATAATGGTTGCTATGTACCCAATTTCTTGTACACTACTTAGGAATTGTACCCCAAGGACTCATTTTGACTAAAATATGAATGAGGCAGATGCCCTGGGAGATTCTGATTCCAAACCATGTGTAACTAAACTTCTCATTTAGTTAAGTGAGACATATGGCATGTCAAAGTATAACAAAGTTTCCTATTGTAGAATTTTATATACGGTACGGTAATAAATCTGTTGCTTTAGCTAATAAGATTCTGATTTAATACTCTTTCACTGAATAGCAAGTTTGCCTAACCTGAACTTGACATACATGGGTACTTTTAATATATTAGTTTCTAGTGATTTTCAAGATTTTTTAAAAAGTTAACAAATATACTTTATAACATATCCTGATTTTTGGAAATAATGTAACATTAAATGTCATTTTAGATGTTCCTCTTACTTATCAAGCGGAGGGGAGCCGGCAGGCTCTGAAAGTTTACTTCTACGTTGATAGTTATCATTTTGAACAACTGCCTCAACGTTTGAAAAATGGAGGAGGGTTTAAAATTCACCCCGTACTTTTTGTGCAAGGTAAACCGCTTTCCTTTTTATATGTGTACTTAAATTATTTTATCTCTATTGATTTTTTTTTTTAAGATTTTATTTATTTATTTGACAGAGAGAGACACAGCGAGAGAGGGAACACAAGCAGGGGGAGTGGGAGAGGGAGAAGCAGGCTTCCCGCCGAGCAGGGAGCCCGATGTGGGGCTCGATCCCAGGACCCTGGGATCATGACCCGAGCCGAAGGCAGACGCTTAACGACTGAGCCACCCGGGCGCCCCTCTATTGATTTTTTAAAATACATGTAATTGTTACCATCGTGGGGATTTTTTTCCATTAATTCAAAAATTCCTTCATAGTACCTAGGTAATATATTTACTTCTGGGAATGTTTATTAAGGAAACAATAAGATAAGGTTTAAGGGGCGCCTGGATGGCTCAGATGGTTAAGCATCTGCCTTCCGCTCAGGTCATGATCCCAGGGTCCTGGAATCGAGCCCCACATCAGGCTCCTTGCTCAGCGGGAAGCCTGCTTCTCCCTCTCCCTCTACTGCTCCCCCTGCTTGTGTTCGCTCTCTATCTCTCTCTGTCAAATAAATAAATAAAATCTTTAAAAAAAAGATAAGGTTTAAATGTTTATTAAGTAGGACTTTAAGTATTTACAATGGGGAAACAAGACCTGAGTGGTTGAAATAGTAAAGATAAATTAATTTGGCTTAAATAAATTATGGGAGAGTCATTAAAATTATATGGCTAAAGATATTTTATGAGATAGAAAAAATTTGGCAATATACACATGCAGGTTACAAAAAGAATTTATATTATAGATAATGTAATCCATTATCTTAAACATACTTAATGTACATAGAGTGTTTTCAGTATCATTGGGTGACTAAATTGATGATGATTTTTTTATTCTTTGAGTTTTTCTGCATTATGTGATTTTGGTTAGTAAAAATAGATTCCTTTTGTAAATAAAAAAAATTTTGTTTTGACAAATGAACAATGAGTTTTAATGCAATAGAAGAAATTGAGTTTAACATGAGTAGGAAGATTCTTGTGAACTGGTTTCCAAGGGAAGGTCCTGGATTTTTTTTATTTCTGGGGTCACAAATGCAGCCTCAAACTGATCAGAAGTCCAGATTATTCTAGTGTAGTTTCTTCTGGTCTGTGATATCTTTTTTTAACTCATGCTGTGGCCACAAGATTATATCAATTTCTCTGAGCAATTCCACAGAGCATTTCATACCTTCTTCTGTGGAGTTTTCAAGAACTGCAATGGTTTTGCTGTGGAATTTTTATATTCTAATAAAAAATGAGAAGAGTAGAGGAATAAAATCAATCTCTGTAACTGAAGGACAGGCATATGAAATCAAAATCCACTGCCAAGTGAAAATTCTTGTACCATATGCATATTATTGTAATTCTAAGATAGATTTCCCTTCCTTGAATTGCCAAGGTTTGAAAACAATGACTACCTCAAACAGATACTTGGTAAGAATACATTTCAGCAGAGGAAAATGTCAGGTGCAGAGAAGATCTTAGGAGTTATTAGAAGTTATTTTCATTTTTCTTTGGAAAAGAAAGGTAATACAAGATTCTGTAAAGGAATGAAAAAAAAAAAAAAGAGGAAACAGCAAAAATAGACCTTTGGAGCTATGTTAGGAGAACAGTTAGCCTAAAATATGTTAAAAGCCATTACACAGATAGATAGTTTTAGAAGACAGAGAAGGGTGCTGATCTGGAATGTTAACTTTTATAGGGTTTAACCAGAATTTACAGTTATTAAAGATTCTTCACTTCCTCTCCTTTATTCCCCTTTTTAAAAATTCTGTCTTTGAAATCATGACTGAGATGACAGATGGCATTTTGCATCTTTTCAAAAAAATTATTACATTTGTGACAAATCAGCCATAAATAGCTGAATATTCATACTTAGCAGCAAATGTTCATAGGAAAAGGGAGAGTATTTTCCAAGTAACCTTATTTTATAATTGTGGCTAAAGCTAATTTTTAAAAAAACCCTAACTATATATTATTTTAGTGAATACAATATCGCTTTACAAAATGTAAAGAAAAACTGTCGCTAACATTAGTTTTTAATATTCACACAGCAATAAAATGTGAGAAAGCCAGAGTGGAAAGACTTCTGCAGTTGAGGTCACAGAGAGGGAAAGAAGACTGGGAAACAGCTTGTCTCATTAGCATGGTGGCAGTGCTTCCTTAGAGGGTTGCGGAAGTTTATCTGCACTCATCAGACTCCCATGAGGATTCATTATTACTCACTCTTACTATTCATCAGAATGGGAGAAGCCCAGGAAAGTCAGCCCTGGCTTGAGTAGAGATAACCATCTGGTAATCGAACGTGGTGGTAAATGAAGAGACTCCAAATGGTGTCTATTCCGGAGATGAACGTTTACTCAAAGGGTTTGTTTCAGGTGTACATATGTACATGGGTCTTTGCTGGCAAATATTTAAAAAAAATAGAAAAATGAGATGAATTTGAAAGGCTCCTGGGAAAACTATTTATGTCAGCCCTTATAAAGTTGTCTGTTACATCATGTACTTGGAACAGGAAGCAAATGTACTGCTTTCTTCCCATTTTTCTTGCCTGAATGGACCCTTCTGCATAGAAGGGCACAGGAACTGAGGGGGCACCCTGCAGAGATGGCGCCAGTTGTGAGATCAGGAATCCCAGTGCCAGAGGCAAGTAGGATACACTTTAGGGAACATGTGTCACTGAAGGCCAGACCTACAGAAGAACAGAAATCTAGGCAAACAGAACAAGTACAGATTGACAAGGTAAAGATCACAGAAGCAGCCAGACAGGAAAGTCAGCACAGAGCATAACCAAAATGCTAGAAGGTGAAGATCAGACAAAAGTGGTCTTCTGTAAGTACTTCCTACAGATCAGGGAATTAACCCTGTTGGGATCCCCAAGCCCTTGGTGAGATAAAGCAAGTGACTGTAAACTGTGTGAAAATGGGAGTAAGGAGGATAGATATTCAAGGTCACTTCCTCCACCCACTCCCCATGGGCTTGTTTTCATGCTGTCTCTCAGTGGTTCTCAATACTGGCTACACAGTAATCACCTTGGGGAGGTCTTAGAAAATACCCATGCTTGGTCCCACACCAAACTGATTAAGTCAGAATCTCTGGGATATAGGGTCCAGATACCAGTATATTTTAGAAGTTTGTTTATTTATTTATTTATTTATTTATTTATTTGACAGAGAGGGACACAGTGAGAGAAGGAACACAAGCAGAGGGAGTGGGTAAGGGAGAAGCAGGCTTCCCGCGGAGCAGGGAGCCCGATGCGGGGCTCAATCCCAGTACCCTGAGATCATGACCTGAGCCGAAGGCAGACGCTTAACGACTGAGCCACCCAGGCGCCCCTATTTTAGAAGTTTTGCAGGTGACTCTAAGGTCCACGGGAGTAAGAAAGCACAGGTCAATGTGGATTATGAAACACTGTGCAATTATCCAGTTAATCTTTGCTTAATTAGATAATCCATTTCACAAAGGCTTGACACTTCTAGATTTGGGGGAGCCAGGGCAAGGGAGCTGGGTGTTTTCAATTCTGCATTGTTAGGTCATTAGGATGCAGGCTGCCCCTAGGAGATTTGATTTGGGTGGGACAGTTTTCTTCAGCAAAGACTGAAGATGCCCTAAAGAGCAGACGGCTGAGGGATATCTTCTAGGAATCCCAACAGCTAGGCAATAAGCCCATCCTTTCTGGGAGGAGATCCAAGTGGGCGACCTGCCATGATCCACACCCTGTACCCTTAGATCCATTCGAGTCAAGACTAGAAGCGTCTCCTTCGTGACTCTGATGGGCTCCCTTCCTGGTGAGATAATCTAGAAGAAGCATGGTAAGGGCACAAGCCATAGCCCCTGCTGCTATAGCTGATTTGGGGCTGCAACAGATGCTCATCTTCCCTCTTCTGTATTTGTTGTAGATCAGCCTTGCTCTCACCCTGAACCTTCCGGTCTCAGTGGCATGACTAAGACCTACATCCCCGAGGGGCCTAATCCCCCTGTTCATTCTGCCCTTCTCAGGACAGGGTTGCTGCATTTGTGCATTTACCATCAAATCTGGACAAGGGAAGTACCAAGAGGGACCTGAGTGGATTCACCGGGTGCCAAACACGTTCCTTCCTGCCCTCATTATGTAACAATAGCCCTACTTCCTTACCATGATCAGGGTCCACTAGCCTTGCCAAGATGGTGATTGCTCTTCCTGGGTGCCTTGGCACAAGGAGCCCTCAATACCCTGGTGGCAACCATAGTTTACATTCAGTGGGACCCCTGCCTTGTCTCCGAGGGAAAGTGTGCCTCTTTGGTGATCAGGACATTTTAAACCCATGGAGCCAGAGTTTCAGGGATGGGAAGCACACATCCCAAGTGAGGCACTGGGACTGGTGTCATATTAGTTTCTTAGAGCTGCCATAACGAAGTACCACAAACTGGGTAGCTTAAAACAACAGAAATTTGTCTATCATCCTTCCAGAGGCTAGAAATCTGAGATCAAGATTCCCAAAGGCCATGCTCCCTTGGAAGGCTCTAAGGAGGAATCCTTCCTTATCTTCTAGCTTCTGGCAGTTGCCAGCCGTCCTCGGCATTCCTTGGCTTGTGACAGGGTAATTACAGTCTCTGCTTCTGTCTTCACACGACCTTCCTCCCTCTGTGGGTCTGTCTCTGTATCTCTGTCCAGATTTCCCTCTTCTTAGGAGAACACGAGTCATTGGATTTGGGCCCACCCTAATCCAGTATGACCTCATTTTAAGTTGATGGCTCTGCAAAGACCCTATATAAAACTTAGGTCACATTTGTAGCTACCAGGGGTTAGGACGTTTGTCGTATCTTTTTGGAGGACACAATTCAGCCCTCAACAGATGTTAAGCAGGGACCTTTCTGCTTCCACCCTTGGTTCCTGGACCCATGTATTCTACCTGTTAGGGATGTGGCATCATTAAAGGTCTTTGATTTTGGTTGCACTGTGTCCTGGAATATGGTATCTGTTCTTTGTATTGTTAGGCACCTGTTCCCTGGGTCTCTTATGATGGTTTTCCTTACACTAACTAGGACATGCGATGCTGGTCCTTTCTCCACAAACACACTCTTGTGTATATTTGTTTTTCTGCCTTTATGAAAAAAGCTGGCACCAGAAGTGATAAATCCTAACTCTTACCTCTTTAAGTTGTCTTTCTATTCTCAGAGAATAATTAAAATCAACCAGAAACTTGAGCATTTTCTCTTCTATTACTTTTTTTAATTAAAAAAAAAATCCAGTATAGAGCGTTTTCTCTTTTAAACAAAAGGGAACATTTTGTGATAAACATTGTCATTTTCTAAGGTTCCCTCATTCAAGTATTTATTTTTTATTTTGAGGTTTTACAAAACTCTACTTTAGGTCCTTTAAAAGATGAATTCCTTAGTTTTCCCTTCGGATTTTATACTGTATTTGAAATTGAAGCATTAAATAGCTTTTTATAAAAGAAGGAACAGTTCCCAGAATTGAGATTTCCTAAATGTTAGAGTCAGTCTATGAACATGTGAACTCACCCCTCTTTAAAAGGCAGCACAACTTTTCCAACATACTGGTCACATTTGGATTGATAAAACTTGCTTTCCTCACAGAAATTGTGACCAGTTCTTCTGAATTCTGACCAACTGTGACCAGTGCAGATGTCTTGTTTTACTTAACCATTAAAGTGTCATCATGCTATCAGGAAAGAGTATTAGTTAATTGAAACTATTCTTAAAATTATTCTTCAGATATTCTGTATTTTTCCTGATCAATCCCTTTCTTGGAAAAACCTTGAAAGGTATTTTGAGTGAGTGGAAATGCAGCTCATTTTCAGTCTTAGAATAATTTAATCTTTACGTTTCTCTAACATTCATTATGTTTTTCTTTTTTGCTGATTGCCTAAGTTTGCTGGGATGATTTGCTTCCTCAAATTCAGAAGTGGTAAAAGGAAAACAAGCAAACAAAGAAACTCATCATATTTTCAATACTGCTTTTAATTAAATGCTATTAAATATTTATGCAACCAAGAATGTCAATACTACTTTTAAGAAACATACTATTATCTGGATGAGAATTAAGGAAACTAGACGAGAAAATGCTGAGAGCCAAACTGGGAAATTTGGACATTATATATTTAACCTACTTTTGCTGAGTATAGAAATTGAATTCGATAAAATATTATCCCATTTTCTTGTATTTATAATGATAAATAACCAAGCTCTTAATCTAAAATCAGGAATGTTGTTCTCTTTCCTCTTCTTTGCCACACAGTTTACTTTTAAATATAGAACTCATCTGTTTTTGTCGTTGTTGTTCATTTCCTCACAGCCCTGCACATGCGCCGTAACATTTTGCTGATTGTTAAACATTTTCCCCATTTAAAAAAATTTCTATGTAATTATGTATTTTAACTGTTGTTAATTTGGAAATATTGTCAAGGAAAGTCATAAAAATGTCAGTTTGTTTTTATGTGGCAACAAGCTTTTAGAGCAGGACTGAACATTCTGGCCAAACTGAGTCTGAGTCATCAAGACTTCTATAAAAATTAGACCCCAGGTATTTTCGTATCTGTCCCCACTCCACCCCTCACCACGATTTCCCTATATCTCCTTCCTAGTGTTCTTCCAGTCTTTATGATTTTAAATCACAAATTGAAGTGTCTTTGTATTGGACCCTCCTCTTTACTTCCCAGAACTTCCTATTTGGCTAAGCACACTTACGCATAATCTATATCTCCTGGAAATTGCATTAGATAATGCCTGTAGGGCATTGGGTGTGTTGTCTAATATATAAAACACATTCAATGAATGGAAGGAATAGTCATGGGGTCTCTTAATACTGTTATTTAATTTAATTATTTCCCAAGAATCATAATTAGTAGGTACTCTACTATTTTTTTATTTTCCATTTCACAAATGAGGAACCTAAGGATCTTGGATTTTAATTAACATGGCTAAGGTCATACAGCTAATAAGGAGTGAATTGGTGGTTTTACTCCAATGCAATGACTTTCATTATTAGCTTTACAACTGGTAAGAGGAATTCACATTGAAGGATGACTATTGATAGACTGAATCCTCTGAATATTTGCCTCTCACAAATAACATCTCATTAATGGAAGTGAATGTGGCATTTATTTGAGGATTGTTTAACCAGGAAGACTTCCTTTTATTTCTTGTATGTATTCAGGACCAGAAGCTTGCTGAACCAGTTACAAATATTCTAATAAATGCAGAGGTCATAAGGAATAAACAAACAATCCTTGAAACAAGCCTACAAATTTGATATCATGTACTGAAGTAGATGTAGTAAGCATCTCTCTAATTTTCCATAAGTGGTTTTCTCAATTATAAGCCAATAATACCATTTTTTTATTTCAAATTGAGCAATACTCTAAAAGGTTTTTTGTTTCTTCAGTGCTATAGAAATCTTACTAGTCAAGAAAACAGCCCAGCAAGTATTAGTAATGAACTTGTGATAAGCACTGGGTGTTATATGTAAGTGATGAATCACTAAATTCTACTCCTGAAACCAATATTAGACTATATGTCAATTAACTGGAATTTAAATAAAAACTGGAAATAATAAAAAAAAAATTAGCAATGACTTTTCTATTTTTGCCCCTAAAATGGTGATGTTTTTGTCAACTTGAAGAAACTTATTAGTTTAAAAGCTATTGCATTTAGCATTTTTGAAAGAGGATTAATTTTTTTAATCAATTTTGAAATAATCTGCTGAAAATTGAGGCTTAATAGTGGCAATAATTTCAAGGGGAAATAATTTACATTTCCAAATTGGATCCATTGCCATTTCTGTTCCTGGCAACCTCTCCATAGGAGATCTTGTATTTCTAGGCACTTCCATGTAATTCATTTCCTTTCCAAAAGGTTAAAAGTACCATCACATAAAGTTTAAAGGAAAAAATACTTAACCAAAAATGTTAGTTAAGAAGGAAATCCATTTCAATCAAAAGATGTTTAAAATTAATGGGGAGTTATATATGTATGTTTATACTTACTTATTTTTAACTAAATTAAGCATTGTAGTAAGGGTAGTATTCTAAGATTATCTATACTTCAATTCTATTACACTCATATTTCATAAGCACCTGCAAGAGAATGTAAGTATACATGGAGAGCAGCAATTTCAACTTTTTTTCTCTTATGTAGGTTAATATGCAGTTCTGCCTCCCATACATATGTATGTATATATATAATATATATATGTATATGTGCATATATATATACATTAAAAACAGAAGACGGTTTAAATTAGAAATTACCTATTAGATATACCTCATTATATCACTTGATATAATCACCAAATGTTTGATATTTATTTTGAGAGGAGAGGAATGATTTTCATTCATTTCTGGACTGGTGAAAGATAGTTTCTTGCATGTGTGGTCATAGTCAGTGTTTTAAATACATTTACTAATAATCAATAAGATTACACTAAATGTGGAGAACTTGAGTTATGAAATCACATGAAAGAGAACATTTACTTGTTTACACAGCACTGGAGAGCATGGAAGGATATTATTATAGAGACAATGTTTCAGTGGAAGAATTTCAAGCCCAGATAAATGCAGCCTCACTGGAAAAAGTCAAACAATACAACCAGAAGCTCAGGTATGTAATTGTTCAATTTTTAAAAAAAGTAAGTTTTCATATTTTGGCAGGAGTAGATGAATTGCGTTTTTGACATACTCATTATTAAGTGATTGATGATGATACTCTTTTTGATATAAAGTCTTTTTATTTAGGGTTTACTATTTCAAATATTCAATGAGTACACTTTTTAAAAATAAAATAGAAAAAAATGTTTGGAAAATTTTCGTGCTATTGTCTTAATTGCTGAAGAAGATCAAAAATTAAATATTTATTAGACCATTTCCAGGGGGAGGAGAAAGCTTAGATATTTTATAGTGGTATCCCCTAGATGGTTGCAGTAGATGAAGGGTGGTAAGTAAAATAGGTTCCTTTAAACACCTGGCACCCTGACACAGAGAGAAGAATATGGTTAACACAGAAGATACGACACAGCATTTACTTGGTTTTGGAAAAATATCTACTTTCAAATACATATATTAATGTTTGGATTTTGCTGTTTTTCCTCTCTAAAAATAGTGTTACTGGCAGAATGACCCTATGGCAGGGAAAATTAGCCACAGTAAGTTCGAAAAGGAAATGTGTTATAATTCAAAGCTTTAATTTTTGACAAATCATTAGCATATATATCTCCCTCCTACCTTATGAATTATTCTGCGAACAGGTCATCTTTTTAAGTTACTTACAGATTATAGCTTTTATTTTGAAAGAAAAATGTTCTTGTTCTACCTTAAGCCTTAATAATTCAAAAATACTATTGTGACATTTTTCGGTTTTGTCCACAATATGGCTAAACTCTGAGGATAAATTAATTCCTAAAATTCCTGATATGGGGAGGTGCTCATTCTTGTAGTTATGACCAATAGATAGGCTTTCTTTCACTACAAATGCTTTGTCTTTCTCCCCCAGCTTCACACAAACCTGTCCCTTTTCCTAGATGCTTTACTCTGTTCCATCATTTTATCACTTGTGAAGCTCTCAGCCTTAAAGCCCCCAATATCTTTTTGATTTCCCATTTTCTCTTCCTCCTAAAATGTTGGAGATCCTGATGAATCTGACTAAAATGTCTCTGGGACTAACCCCATTTTATTACCTCGTCCAGATCACTATTTCTCAAAGGTGTATCATGTAATGACCCCTTTCACAGGGAAAACCAAAATAGTTAATCTTGAATGCTTAGTATGTCCACTGACTAAGAAACACTGACTGAAGAAGCTTAAGCCCAGTGTTGTGAAAATCTTCAGTTGAGGACCATCATGACAAAAGACAAGTCTGGCCTTTGTAACTGATCAAATACATTCCTAGGTTATCTTTGAAATAAGGAAACAAAATTAAAACATTTATATAGAACATGTGGGCCCTGAGAACACATCCCCGGACTCCAGTTGAGAAAATAGGTCTAGACCATTGCTGTCACATCTTAACCGTCTCCTGTCTCTAAGACCCCCATGTTGTTTTAATCTACTCGGGATTTTGCTTCCAGATAATAATTTTAAGTCACATCTTACTGTGTTACTCTCCTGCTCAAAGGATTTGGTGATTTCTTATTGTCCCAAAAAGGAGTCAAAACCTCTTTAGCATGGCAGTCAGGATTTTGCATGACTTGGGGTGCCTGACTGCCTCAGTTTGTTAAGCCTCTGACTCTTGATTTTAGCTCAGGTCATGATTTCAGGGTCCTGGCGTGAAGCACCCCCTCCCCTGTCACTCAGCAGGGAGTCTGCTTTCTCCCCCTCTCTCTGTCCCTGTTCCCACCCACTGCTCACACGCTCTCTCTCTGAAATAAATAAATCTTAAAAAAAAAAAAAGAAAAGATCTATTATGACTTGACCTGAGATTTCTTTTCTCCACCTACGCTCCAGTCATGCTGTACTCTCATTTCCAATCATGCACCATAGTTTCTTTCTACCATGACTTTTCTCCGTCCATCTAGCATCTGTGTCCTCTATTTCCAGCTGTTTATAAAACTACTATTCATATGATTCAATGTCCAGCTCTAGTTAATAGTTGTCTTCATAAAATATTTTTCTTTTATTATTGGGCTGGGATGAGACCTGGCCATTAGATTCTCTAGCAGTCCCCTAGGAGTTTCTGCTGTGTGGCTAGAATTGCAAACCAATTCCCTAGATCCTGGAGTTCTCAAAGGATGATCCCCAGACTAGCAGGTCAATGCCATCTGCAAACTTGTTAAAAAAAAACTCTGGGGTGAGCCCAGCAATCTTCATTGTAACAAGTCTTCCAGGTGGTTCTCATGCATGCTCAAATTTCAGAACCACTGCCCTAGGCTAAATGAATGTCTTTCATTTTACTTCGTTTATGGCTACTACAGAATTCAGCTTTTCTCCCTGATGATAGTTATGTGTACAGATTTCTCATTTTCTTTATTCTATGATAAGCTTCTTAAGATGAGAGATACTTTAAAAAAAAGATGAGGGATACTTTTATCTTGGTGTTTCCTGTGGTGTCTATCAAAGTATTTTGCATAGGGTGTTCTCCAAAATGTATGTTTAGTTGCATTAACTTATTTAGGTATAACGTACAGAGAGAAATGGAGATGTAGCCTAGCATTCACACCCCTGTGGGTATTTTTTTGACAGAAATAGAATAGATACTCATTTATAACAGATACCTGATAAGATATTTAAGATTCTTTATTAAGAAAAACAGCATGTATACCAATGCATGCTATCTTCTTCACATAAGAAAACATTTTAATCCATCTTTTCTGGAGAAAACATTTTGAAAAGCACATAAACCCCTCGGTACAAATTAGTACCCTTGTCAGTAATTAGCTGCTCTATATCCTACTTGTTGCATATTTAGTTTCCTTTACACAGGAAGACAATTATTTTCCTCTTTACTTCCAGTAATGCCTTCTCTTCCTGCTTACTTCTTGAATAAGGGTGTTAATTCCTTCCTTAATTTTTCCTTTTACTTTGTAACCACAGATACTCTGAACTTGCTTTTAGGCAATCTGTTCGTGGTCTGGGGGGCCACAGGCCAACACTGACCATTTCTGTAAAGGGGCTCTTACTGTCCATTGTAGAAAAATAGTCCTCAGGTGTCTCTAGCTCCTCATAGACCAGAGCCTTTTTAACACTTTCGCTGAAAACCATTTCATTCTGGATGTTAATTTATTTGCTAATTAGACCTCAGAAAAGGCCTTTTTTTTTTTTACCCCTTAGCCTTACAACAAACTAACAAACATAAATAAACTAGTGTTTTATTAGAAAACATTGTTATTTTTTTTTTATTACAAGTTTCAGAAACTAAACTCAAACTGGCATAAACAAAATAATGTATTGGCATATCTAACAGGTATATCCATGGGGTGTGGCTGCATTAGGCACAGCTGGGTCCAAGGGTATGGTCGTCAAGAATCCCTTTTCTTTCCCTGTCTCTTGGTACTTCTTTCCTCTGTGTGGGCTTCATTTTCAGGCAAGGTTGTTTCACATTTGGGTAAAGATGGTCAGTGAAGACCAATGTTGCATTCAAAGAAGAGAGGGTGTCTACCCCCATTACTCCTCCATGGAGAGTTCCAGCAAAGGACCTGCGGAGGCGGTCATTAACCAGACCCAACTCATGTGCCCATTCTTGGATGGGCTTAGCACCACACAAGAGCAATGGACTGTCACAAAAAGTGCAAAGTAAGGATGCTGGACAAGAGGGAACAATGGATTCCATTCTAGTTCTAGAGATTTCTCCAGAACAGCAAAGAATAGGTGGAAATAATATGCTACTTAACATAAAAGATGATGACAACTATAATACCTATCAGTTTTTAAGAACATATTGAGTCAGTCATAATGCTAGGTGAGTTATGTGGATTATTTAATAAACCAGTGAGTTCCATATTATCATCTCCACTTAAAGGGAAACTTACACAAATTTACCTAGATAATAAGTAGTAAAACTAGGATTTAAATTGCAGGCTTTTTTTTCTTTAGAGTTTATACTTTTGCACTATGTTAAGTCATCTTAGTTACTGAAGTGAACATAATATGCTGAAAACACATTATCTGTTACTAAGGTGTCAGATACTATCAATTGCTCTGATTTTGGGCCATCAGTTATTCATTGATTCAGTGTTCATGAAGTTTCCATTCCTATGAAATTAAGAAAAACAGAAAATGAACAAATAAACAAATCAGTAAACAAATTATTGCAGATAGTGAAAAGTGCAATGAAGAAAACCTAAAACAAATTGCCATATTAGGAGGTTGGTTATTTAGAGGAGGTAATAGTTAGTGATGACTTATTTATTGGGTGGTATTTGGACGGAAGACTGAATCAAAAGGAGACAGCCTTGCCAAAATGGGGGGAAGGTCTTTCCCAAAACAATGAACTAATGTACATAAATCATAAGAATAAGCTTATCATTTTTGAGGAAGACAAAGAAGGCCAGGAGGATTCTAGACATTAAGGATGATGATGCATGTCAAGAGAGATTTGTAGAGACTTGGTTATGTAGGACTGTAGGCCATTATAGGTGGTATAGATTTTATTGTAAGTACAATGCAGAAGCCATTGGAAAGCTTTTGTTTAATTACTGCTGCCCATTTGTATCTTATGCTTCTATTGCAAATAACATCTAAAATGGTTGACATTTTCATAAAGTGGGCTGAGACCAGCTGGCTGGTCTGACCACTCCTCTTCCAGTCTCTGGAAGGACAGACCATGCAGTACACCTGGGAAGTCTTTGCAGTATGCCTCAAGGTCCTGACACTGGTTGCCTGAAGACACTCTGGTTTAGCTGTTACCCCCAATGAACAAGTTTCAGCCAGCAGAAATGTTTAACAGCTCTGTCTAAAATATACCATCCTATGCCAAATCAGATGAAGTTCTTGATTATTAAATACCATGTAAGGGTCTCCCTGATGTCTTCTATGCTTCCTCAAACCCTATGGAATGGGAGAAGGTATTTGCAAATGACATATCTGATAAAGGGTTAGTATAAGAACTTATATGATTTAACACCCCAAGGGGCGCCTGGGTGGCTTAGTTGGTTAAGCGACTGCCTTCGG